CGATGTGAACTCTGTCATTACTCGCTGTATCTTTCTTCGCTGTAGCCTTCTTCGCTAAATGCTCTAACCAACACAAAAAGAATTTTTCAATTCGAACCCGTACTTCCTGAGATTAGCGCGTTCAAACAAACAAACAAACTCTTCAGCTCTATATATCAGTATTAGATTTATACCTACCTGCAGCTGTCACGAAGCAACGGAAACGTCAGGTAGATGTTAAAAAGTGAAACATGTATTTTTTAATTTATGTTTTAGCTCAGTTTTGACAGACCCCGTGGCTCAATGGTTAACCGTGGGATTAAGCAAGAAAGATTCTGGGTTCAAATTTCAGTTAAGCATTATAAATAAGTCAGGCAATCATCTACTTGCCTGTGAATAACATCGTTCAGCGGTTTTTTATACGATTATTTTTTAAAAGGATACCAATTTAGTAAAATGATCAGTTAACCTTAAGTAAAACTTGAACTACCACTTGGCCGATCCTCGTGTTTGTTTTACACCACATGCGACCCAGCTCTATCTTAAAAACCCTAAGTCATTGTTGCAGGGATTTATTTAAAAGCTAAAGTAACGCTAATCTTTCTCAACGATCGGTGTTTACCAATTAGTGCGTCGCGACGAAGCTAAAATGTCATGTATTTATTCGCAATGTTGTGTTGCAGTTCAAAATAGGAATCAGTCATTTTAAAAAGGTATAAATCACCATTGTAAAATTCTTGTTTAAATATACAAATGTTACTCTAAGACAACGTTAACCAATAAAAAAATTGAACAACTTAAAAACAAACAAGTAATCAAAAAGTAAGTTAACAAGTCGCGTAACACGATGTGATATTTTGTTTTTACTGCATTTTATCATAGGACATTTTATAATAATTATATATATATTTCAATTAACACAAAGTTTCATCACTGCACCCTGAATACAGTATTCATTACTAAAAACTAATTAGACATTCATCAAAATTTGCGACACGGGCAAGGCTCAAACCCGAACAGCGATCTGTGTTAATTAACCACGTGTCTCTCAAACCTTTTTTATTTTTATTTAATGGGATTTAAGCTTACTAGGTTATGGCGCAATATAGGACTTAAAATTTACGAATTAACAAACACGGATATCTTAAAACTATGATTACACTTAGACAACCTATATAATGAAAATATAAATTCTCTCTCATATCTAAAATAAGCTTTCAACTTATATAAGCTACTGTCTGTAGTTTACGCAAGTAGTACACATTTAAATAAAATACTTTAACGGTTACGGTAAGATGTCGCTAGCGTAGGAGTTTTTTACTTTGACGTCAGAGACACCCTCCATCTTTAGTCTCCCCGTGACCACGGCTGGTGCAAAGCATCCGCAACATCGGGCCGTAGTTATAATAATTCAAATTAGTTTACCTATTATATATCGCGTTTTAAACCGTTAAAATGTTTTATTAAAAACTTATATAAGCTATAATTTAAGAACTTAAGAAGAAATTAAAGAACTTAAAACTAGTCCCGACATTTTATTCATCATTTATTAACCAAAGAACATTTTGCCTGTAACATGTAAAAGCTATCGCCTACGGCTAGTGTCAATATCGTTAGTTGTTCTGCATAGTGTTAGAGGTTAAGGGTTGAATTTTAATGAGATAAGCTTTCAATTTTAACCAACGCCTTTGTTGGTTAATTATGCTTTAAACAACTACCTTCTTGTCCCTGATCTTATCTGTGTTTAAATTTCCTATTTACACATGGTTGGAAGATACCACGGTATACATAAGCTAAGCAAAATCTTATTTATTGAAGACTTGTAACTTGAGAACAGTTGAACCAATTTGCATAAATTTTTAGTAGTCTTTCTCTGCCTTGAACGGCACAATAAGTTCGTACCTTCTATAAATATTTGAAGTACCAAGTTCGTCTGATCAGCTAGTTTGTATTAAACTTGAAAATCCATAACACATACTATAATCAAACCTATCCTAAAACTGGCATCTTTATTGCTAAACATTGTTGGTTAGAAAGCGTAGGGCGCAGCGTAGCCCCCATCTAGGAGACAAAGAATATTCATTCATACCAAAGAGACACAAATTAATGATCTATGGTTCAAATAAACTAAAGGGCTAGCGGTATTAAAATTCTTACATTAGCAGCTTTAAATTCTGCACAAAAAAATATACATTTCATTGGACTCTCTCAAGACGCTCTCAACAGGAACTCAGTACTTAAGTTTAAATTGCTAGACTTGTCTAGATAGTGGTACTTGCATCTCACCGCTAATGGACGCATTCATTTGTTTTTGTCTGGTTTTTAAAATAACTCACGGATCGCCTTGCGAAAGAAATTGAAATAGTTTATTTTAAACAGCTTTTTGCCTCGCTGTTATATAACGTATTTAAATTTTATATGAAGTTATATAAATATTCAGTAATCAGAAAAATGAGTAAATGTTACTCTACAGCTTTATGTTTTTAAAAATATTAGAAAATGTTGCTGCCATGTCTTTAGTGACAAGACCGCCTGGCAGAAATATGAATTACTTGCTTTTATAAGACATGTTAAAAAACGCGGATGGAATCACGACGAATAGACAGACAAACATTTTTACATTTCTTTGAAGAATCTAAATTAATTTTAAAATTTTAAAGAGAAAAAAGTATACATATTTTATTTTAGTTTAATAAAACAACGAATAAAGGACCAATGGCCAAATCCGTTATTTTTATATTCTTTGATCTTTTCTTTCAATTATGATATTTTTTAACAGTAAACCACCATTTCGTTTTGTATGATGGGTGCTGGGGGTAATAAAAACATTGCAAAAAAATATAGATATAAACATTAATCTGTTCTATTTTATAAATAACATGCGGTAGTTTGAAAATCTTTACAATTGTTTGTCTCACGTTAATGCACATGATCGCATTACATAAACTGAAATTTGAATTAAGTTTTAAAATATTTTACGACACGGACAGGACTTGAACCGATATCCGCAGCATTTCGTGGTATTGCTCTAACCAACACGGTAGCTTAATCGCGATAGGTATATAATATTTAATCTTTTTCTTCAAGTTACACAGGTTATAACTAAAGCATTATCTTTTGACTTATGTTAGAACCAAATAACTGACTAGCAAATATTCATACTTATTATTCGCAGCGAACAACTTGAAGAATGCAAAAATGATTTACGCAGTGAGCTGTATTTTTTCACACTACTTGCCGGACACATAAAGCAGTCGACACCTGCAGCGTGATTAAAAAGTAATGTGAATCCTTGGAAAATAAAATAACGCGTGGAGCTGTTTGAACGGAACCTTCATCTGCATTGTGAATATTAAAACGTTTATTTATTTAAAAAAATAGTTCACGATGGCCGCTATACATAAATAAATAAGTCTTTTTTCCCTTTAAATGACCGCTATGTATCTTTTAACTTAATCTAGTCAGTCAGTAATCAGGTATTGTTTAAGTACAATATTATTTTAGAAAATATTAGGTCATTAGGAACTCTCTCGGGTGTAGGTCTCCTCCAAAGTTCTCCACGTTCCCGGTTTTGAGCAGTTTTCGCCCATTGTTGGTTAGCAATCGGCTGTATGTCGTCGCCCCATCGTGCTACTGGTCTTCCTCTGACACGTATTCCTTTTGGGCCCGTCCATAAGGATACTCTTGCCGTCCACCTGTCGTCCTTTAATCTAGCTACATATCCCCATCTTGGATGAAGTGACTTCAATCTGATGATTTCGTTAGCCTTGGTTATGAATTTCTATAAGTAGCCATTTCTTGTAATATTGTTGGTACTTAGTGGATTATACCAGGTTAATTAGTGTACCGCGACTAAAAAGCGCTCAAATTGTTTTTCTAAACTCAATTAAGTAATAAGATTTGAATCACCGCCCTCTTGCGGACTAACCAAGAAACGATTTTTGCGTCGATCAATCGGTATAAGAACTCAAATGTGATAAAGCTTTTGTTCTGTACTGGTAACGCTTGAGGGAGATATTATAAAGAGATAACGACAAATAAAATATCGGCTATATAATATTCTATATAGCCGATATTTTTTATGCCGCCAAACTTAAAAAATTTATGCATTCGTGCAACCGGTTCTGAAGATTGCAAAGATAATAACAACACGCATTTCGCAGTCTGTAACTATAATCAGATGCTATTTGCTAGAATTACCGCGCCTAAACTACTAAGCCGACTTTAATGAAATTTTGCAAATATGCTCAAAGCATGCCAGGTTGAAAAAAATGTTATAAATGTGGCGACACACACACAAACACAAGAGTAATATAAGGAAATAATTATTCGATGTAAGAACATACATTTGCACTAGAGTAAAAAATAAATGAAATCTATTTGTTGGTATTGTGTGGGTAGACATTAGAACTATACCGTTTTCGAAGGGAACAAGTTCTGAGACCTTGAATTAAATCAAATTTTGATTTACATTTTAGCCTTTAATGCGAACTACTTTCAAATAATATTACTTAGGTTATTGTAACCATATTTAACTTATTTTTTTAATGATAAAAGGAGGCAAATATAAACGAATAGATAAATGGAATAACATGAAAAGAGTGTTATCTAGAGCATTTTAGGCTAATTTTAAATGCAATTGCAACAACACAAAAAAATAGTAAGTGTTAGATCACTTACTATTTTTGTGTTGCCGTCCGTGATCACGGCTGATGTAAAGCATCCGAAACGTCGGGCTGCAGTTAAAATAATTTTCAAATATGTTTCACTAATATATATCGCGTTTTACACCGTTAATGTATTTATTTAAAAAGTTGATGTATTTTCATTTTTCCTAATAATAAATCTAATTAAGAAATCTAGAAAAAGTAGGTACATACTGAGAAGGATAAATTAATTTAAAAAAAAATTACTGATATGTTATGTGTATTTTAACTTTACGTATTACTTAAAAGTAAGATTTTACATAGAAAACAAACATACAAATCTAATATCACAAATTCTTCATACCACTATCTTACTCAATATCGCATATAGTTCGGCATAAACAAAACACCTCGTCCAAAGGTAGGTCTATCGACCCTCGTATCGTTTCCTGGTGTGAACAGCACAGGGTCACTTAAACGATCGTTGGAACGCTGGTAGACTTGCAGCGGCGCAGAATACTGCTTTCCCTCGGAAGGTGTACGCGAATCAGTACCAATGGGCACAGATCTCACGAAAGCCTTAAAGCCATTCCTAGAATCCGCTAAGTAGTCCACAGTTCGTTTTGTACCATCTGGATCTAGTACCGTATAGAATCCCTTGACTGTATCCCCATGTCTCACTTCTTGCTGACCTTTAGCATCACCAGTAGATGGATCAATAATGTGGTACCAGTAATTATACTCTGTGGTCGGCGGTGGATCTGTCACTATGATTGATAAAGCACGTGAACTAAGAAGGAGTATGGACGTAAGTTGTAAAAGCTTGGACATGTTGACTGTTTAAGTATATCGTTGCAATTACCAACACAGTCGCGATATTTCACGTTTTATAGACATCGCGCTCACTTGGCTGTTCCGTGTTGCGATAAAGTGCGCACATTGTCTGGTTTGGTTAGGAGAAATATATACAACTAGCTGGTGCCCGCGACTTCCTCTACGCAGGATTAGTATTTGGAGTAGCTTATATTAGCGTGGCGTAGTAAGAATTAACATTTTGACATAAATATTTTTTGAGTCGCATTTTAAAAATATAACTGCTAGACAATATTTTAACATAAGAAGGGAAAGGTAGGTTTTTTCCTAGTTACTTGACACTTAATGTCATATTTTTGACAACTCACACAATATCTTTATAAATTATGGCGTATATGTTATTTTGATGTACAAGCTATATTATTGGAAAGTTTAATTCAATATCCATTCAGTAGTTTTTGCGTGAAAGAGTAACAAACATCCATCCACACATACAAACTTTCACGTTTATAATATTAGTAGGATAGGATATACGCTGCCTTGTTGGCCTAGTGGCACATAATGCAAGTTTAGACATTGGGACTCAGAACAATATTGGACTGTTTTGTCTTTGAGTACTAGTCCCCAAAAACAATTCTCCTCGAGATCACGGCTGTATGCAAAGGAACTATCGGGAAGCGGTTAAAATAAATATAAATAAGTTTAACTATAACATTTCGCGTTTTAAACAGTCAAAGTGTTTTGAGCCGTATTGAAAATCATTTTCAAATAAGTTTAAGTAATATATTTCGCGTTTTCGCCAGGAGTTTGGCAGTAGGAGGTGTCATCCACGTACTTGATAGGGAAATTTAATTCTTGTTGGTCTTTAGTTGGTCTCTACATTAATGAAGGTAATCATAAGTCAACCCTGGGAGCACTGTCGTGGATCTAAGCTCTCAAACTTTTTTAAAAGACGAAACACATTTCTGAGACCCTCCTCCCTTTACGTGTGACGTACTTTATGGATGACCCCTAAACACCCTGCACTAAACAATTAATTATCTCTCAACAATGATGACGTTATGTCCTGTCTGTTCTTCTTTTCTTACAAAATATTTGTCTTCTAAACTCTCCATGATGTTTAAAAACTACCACCCTCTAGTCAGTACGTAATCCAAGCAAAATTTCATCAAACAAGTGAGTAAAAATCAAATTGACCCTGCATTAAGTAAACTTCACGAATCGTTAATTTTTATTACATTTTATTCTCAAACAATGAAGGTTCACAGAATTCTTAAACAAAACATTATTTGCACTTATTTATTATTTGTGTGAAATCCCGTTTCCCCTCGTGGGGCATGGGGCGAACACATTTCTGTGTCCGTTTCACTGATCGGTTTTATTTACAGGCAAGTAGTTGATCAGACTTCTGTGCCCTGCCCGACCGAAACAATGTATTGTTTCCCCGGGATTCAAAACCAGAACCTCTAGCGCTTTACACACTGCTAGGCAACACGTTTAACCAATTAGCTACAGAGGCGGTTATTTGCCTATATTGTTAGAATTCCTTATAAAATTATCGAAATATCTTTTGCTAACAGGAAATCCAGAACAAGAAGGAAATTAAATAATAATTCTATAGGACTTTTAAAAGCTACAACCATAATATATAGTTTGTGTGCTTATAAAATATATGCTAAAAAAATGTTCCTTTGTTATATATGCGCATACGTTGTTTTTATCGTAACCAAGATAGAGTATTTACATTGAAAAGTTTATTTTTAGAGCTTTTATTTTTAAATCGCCTTGAAGCACACAAGTTCAATTTTAATAACTTTACAAATACGATATTTAGGTCAGGTAGTAATTGTGTATTTTTATTTCATTTAATTATTTTTAAGTGCAGCTTTTTTCTGAAGGTGTGGGCTTGAGGGTTAGACTTGAGGTCAAATATTCATTCTACCAAAATTTGTTTTATCGTATATCAAACATCGATTGATTTAAATAACTTTTAACGGTATAAATCCGAAATGTATTTATCAAACTTATACAAACCGTTAGTGTTATTTTAATGTGTACTCGCGTAAACTACAGACCGTAATTAACTTCAATTGATTAAATGCGGTATTTTTACATATTATACATCATGTTTTAATCCGTCATTTTTTTTACTTTTATATTATGTTACTGATTTAAAATGAAATACAATTTACGATTCCTCTTATTTATTACCCTATTAACATCTATTTAACAATTGCTTAAAATATAATAAATATATAAATAACAAATCAGGTCACATTTTTTTCTACGATGCCGAGACATACATTTCATTTTCTGGTTTAGTGGTAGGCAGCTACTGGTGCAACAGCTTTGACGACACCACCTAGTGGTTCTTTGTGCACAACAGCGTTGAAACCGTTGTGGGGATCGGCTGTGTATTCCACCACTCGTCGTGTACCATCAGGCTCGACAAGAGAGTAGGATCCTTCTACAACGTCACCAGATCGCGTCTCGTGTTGGCTCTTTGAGTCACCTGGGAAGGTCATAAGCATATTAATGTATTTCTACTGATCAACGAATTGGGAGATTGATTCACACCAGGACTTGGTTAATACAATATTTAACAGTTTAAGCGCAATTAATGTGTTTAGCTTATTTGGAGAATACTTAGAACTACGGCCTGACGTTTTAGATGCTTTGCAGCAGCCGTGATTACCACTTTGAAATATTTTTCAAATAGGTTTAACTCATATATATCGCGTATTAAACTATTAAAATGAGTTATTTAAATATGTAGTACTAACTACAGACAGTATTTTAAATTGTAAAATAAAACACTTTAACGGTTTAAAACGCGATATATTAGTAACTTATTTGAAAATGAATTTTAAATTGTTATTTAAAAATCATTAATAATAGAATGTTAAAAATCATTTTCAAATAAGTTTAACTAATATATCGCGGTATAAACCGTTAAAGTGTTTTATTTAAATGTGTAAATGTACACTGTAAACTATAGACAGTTTACAGTGTACTTTAATATTTATTTATAATTCATCTGTGAAACACGATCGAATTCGTCTGGAAAATCTGGATATTCAATAGCTGAGAGGAGTATCTCTTAATTGCGTCCAGGCTACACTGATGACAAAGCTGTAAGATTTGCTCGGTTTCTTTCAGTGAATTCATATGGTTAGGATCCCAGCATTTTTTGAACCTTATTTTTTTTTTTTTTGGGGAAAAAAAAAAAAAAAGGGTTTCAAAAAAAAAAAGAAGGGAAAAAAAATTAATAAAAGTTTGGATGAATGCGGCAAAATAATGAAATTCAGAAAAAAAACCAAAAGAAGCCGATTCAAGGCCCGCTTGAGTCGTAAATTTTTTATAATCGCTTTTTAAGAATCTGTGTCTTTCTCTTACCAGTCAAAGCATCCTGTATATCATACGCATAAGAGTATTGAGGATTGGGGTCGTATTCATCTACAGCTGGTGCGTATGCTGGCCTGGCCACTGCTAGAGCTGGTCTGGCATATGCCACAGCTGGCCTGGCAATAGCTACAGGTGCAATCGGTGCTGCAACGTGAGCAGCAAGACCATATGGTCGTGGGTAGCCATACGGCGCTGGTGCTAATAGACCAGCTGACACGCTGCATACCATAACTGCGGCTAAGATAACCTGGAAAATTTATAACTAGTTAAAATCGATATATTTGCGAGTACACTATGCCTAAAATAATCTTAGCCTATACCGTAAACCAGCTGTTGCAAAGCATCCGAAATCTGATCCGATTTAAAAATGAATATATTTCGTGTTTTAAACCGTTCAAGATGTTTCAATATCATTTTACTGGAATCATGAAAACGTTGCTTTCACTCTTGTAACCAAAGACTTGTTTACAGGAGACGTTCGTAATTAGATACATTGTGTCTTTAATAAAATTTTAATTAAATTGTACATTTACCTTCATTTTGTTGTTGTTCAGTGGGCTTGTGAGAGCTTATGAATGTCCAGGTTTTGCTTTAACGCGCTTATATACTATTCTTGCCCTAGCAACATAGTGTCACCTACCCTGACATATAGGTACACTCATGGCCCGTTATGACACTTGAATTATGTATGTAACGATAAATTCAACACGAATTTATAGCGATATGTAACAGTCTGCACTAATTAATATTTCGATGTGAATTTGTTTGCTTTTATATTTTCATAGGCGTATTATTTTTAAATATAAATGAGTTTGTTTATATATTCATATAATAATTATCATAAAAGCTTAAGACATTCAAATTGTCTGTATATAAATATACCATATAAATAATTAATAAATAATAAGTTATATTATAAGAAACACGGTGCTTTGATGTCGCTAAGTTGTCGCCTGTTTAGGAAATAGTTTACGGTTAATGTAACGGCACACAAAGCTCATTTACCCAATTCAAAATCATCGCTTCGCAGAATCATCAGTCGCCGAGATTTAATGCCGGCTGTGTGAATACTGAATACATATAACACTTTAAACTTGAGGCAATGTATACTAATATTATAAAGCTGAATAGTATGTCTTTTTGTTTGAACGTGCTTATATCAGGAACTACTGGTTCGAATTGAAAAATGTAATCTACATTACATTTTTAAAAATTTTGTTTGGGTAGACCATTTATAGGGTCAGACTTTAGGCTCTAAAACATCACGCTGCGATCAATAGGAGTGAAGAAACAGAGGGAAATGTGCTAATGAAAGAATTATTCTTCCTTAAATAATATAAACAATTTTAAATGATAAGTACACATATAACGTTGTGGACATATTATGTCTATCTTCTAACATGGCATCGAACGACGGGATGCGAACGACGTCGTGGGTAATAGCTATAATTTATAAAGATGCGAAGAGGTTTGCAAAAAAATATTGACACCTAAAATTTCTCTAAAATTCTACGCAGACGAAGTCGCTGGCGCAGCTAGTAGTAGATATTTCATTGAAATATAACCTTAAAATAATCTGAACTTCACATTGATTAGCGCGGTGCACCCATTTAGTTATTGTATAAAATTATCATTTAATACAGGTATCCTACGCAGGTTGTCTAGCAATGAGACTTTTAGGTCACAGCTGCACACCCAGTGTGCACACACATGCCTAAGAATATAATAGATTGCCCTTATATGGTTAATAGATCACTAGACTGCCGCGTGCTTTGCTATTGAAAATAACCTTCATGAAATCTAGATCACAAGCATAATATACCAGTATTGTGGATATACGTTTTATTAATTAGTATTTACTATACTTATAACGAATATCCTAACTACACAAAAGTTATTCTATATTCTTGGTAAAATTGGTTTGATCTATCCTATTTTATAGTATCGAGATGCTGACCTAAGATTTTATTAATTTCAATTGTATGTCTGTATGTTATTTCGACAACGATCAGAATCTAACTATAAAACCAGTCTGTAGACCTGGAACAGACAAGGTAATATACCTACAATACCATTTACATAAAATCAAATATTATTTAAACATTTAACATTCGGTGTACTAAAAAGTTAATTTTAAGCGACCGATTATTTCACAAACGTTTCAAAACGTTTACGTAATAAATTTACAGAAGGTTTAATGGACAATATTTGATATAGTTACTATTCTACAATATTTATATAGATATGATATTAATAGATAAATAAAAACTATTAAAAATATGAATGAGCAAAAAGTTTTCATATCACTACAATAAAGTCGTTTCCCTCAGCGCCATCTATTACGATAAGCACATGTAAATTTTAACGACATCTCTTATGAAACAATAACATTGAGTTCGTTTTATACATAAAACAATCATCTATAGACGATAATAATTCAATCGACTTGTAACCGAACGCCTCTTGTAATTAAAAAAAAACAAACGTCATTCGAATGACATTTCACAAAAACTTCAATTCTACGTACCTTTTTCCAATGAATGTAAAAAATATCCAACAAACAAAGTGCTTTGTTATGCGTTTGATACAGAGACTATTTTTAATTTGTTGAATTAGTGATTAGGGAAAATGGCAGATTTCGATGCGATATATCAAGACGAGACGGATCCTGAGGAGAATATAGAAGAAACTCATGTAACTTTAGTGCCAGATCCAATAGTGGTCCGTGGAGCTGGAAATATGACTGTGTAAGGATTCATTTTATCAGCTGTTTACACCTTATGTTATCTAGGAATGCTATTCTCTAGTTACGCGATATTAATGCTTATTGTTATTTTGTATTGTGGCATTTCCTAAGTCGTTGATGTAATTACGACGAGGACATTGACCAAAGCGTATTTTGATCAAATTTATTGAGGCCAATTATTTTTAAGCCAGAGTATGCTACATTTTTACTATATACAGATTATTATACACCCTACTCCTCTTTCCAGAGCAGTATTATTAAAATTAACACTAAATATTTCTGCTTCGTTTTTGAATAATAGAGATATAGATAAAAATATTATTTCATAGTTTATCTATAAAATATTAGGCAAGGTCATAAACCCACTTTCACAATCTTAAGAAAGTCATCTGGTAAACATGACAATGTTGTAATGATAATAATGAAAATCGGAAATGAATTGTGCATTAGAAAGGTCAATTAAATGAAACATGTTTACTTGTATGCAAATGAAATAAAGTAATCACAAGCAATAACCATATGTTACATAGTAATTATTACACAGTTAGTTATATAAACATTCTGATTGGATGTTATCAAAGAATATAGCTACTAATTAGTAGAAGTTGTAAAATACAAAGTTACAAACAAAATAGTTTGTTAAATCTTCTAATTTAAATAAACCTTTACGGTTTAAACCGATTGGGGGGGGGGGGGGGGGGGGGGGGGGGGGGGCCCCCCCCCCCCCCCCCCCCCCAAAACCCCCCCGAAACGTCGGGCCGATAAATCATTTTCAAATAAGTTTAACTAATATTTTTTACGTTAATGTTTGTGTAAAACTATTTAATGACCCTGGCACTGTATCATTTTGTAATAACCAATATTTTTTTATATTAGTAATAATTTTACCTAGCTTTATTCTGTATTTGCCAACGGAACCAGTTTTACAAGTGAAGTACTAGCATGTGTGCTCTGTTTTAATTAATTAAAATTGTTTGTTTGAGATTCTTCCCTTTTGCCTTGTCAGGCACCATTTTTTTTACATTGAGCCATTGAAGTATAAATGCTCATTTAGATAAATTTAAAAAAATTTTGCTAGATTCATACACATTCATAGTCCAAAAGAATGTATGGCCACAATATATTATTAATTCATTTGCTAGCCATTGTGTACAATAATCTAAAGTCCCATGTAAAGGTTAGGTGAAATAATACCCTTAGTTTATGTGAGACCAGATAATATTAGCTGGTCAAATTGGAATAATGATTTTCAATATAAAATGTCAGGATAAATGTTTATTACACTTAATAGATTTTGATGAAACTTATTTATAAAATGCAGTGGCCAGAAAAGTCGTATCAATAGGAATAAGTTGTTATTTCACATTTCTACTTCATGTATTATTTACTTTCAGTTTTGGTCTAAGCAATCGCTTCAATGATGAATTTCCTCCTGGGCTACAGTCGCGTGTGGCGCCTGAAGAGTATCAAGCCACGGTGGCGCGTATTAACAGCGTACTGAAGAAAACACTACCTGTCAATGTGAAGTGGTTGTTTTGCGGTTGTATGTGCTGTTGTTGCACACTCGGATGCTCTCTATGGCCGGTCATTTGTCTTAGTAAAAGGGTGAGTTTGTAGACCTAAAGACAAGGTTTGTTTCACATACATAACATTTATAAAAGTTTATAGGCCTATGTCTAATGTACTGGCAAAATTAACGGAATCTGGTTATTCGACATGTTGCATATAAAATATTTGGTTCTTAATCTTAAACATACTGGTTTTGTCATAAGCTGTATGTATCTAAGTGTCATCTAATCTCGCAAATGGAAGATGCAACACCAGCAGACTAACACAACTTTTAAACAGTTTGCAATGACCTTAAACTCGGCAAAGAATTATGGGAAAAAAATTAAGAACATTTTACTGCGATGCTATTATACTGCAAATGCAATTTTGAATATTTGCACGAATTGAATGTACCAAACCAAATTGGCAACGAGCCAAATGATCGTGGAAGAATGCAAGGTGTTTGACGTCAAATATACGAAGGGTCGAATAAAGAACTAAATTTATTCTTTGCTTAAAAATTGGCCTAAGTTCGATTGACAGAATGAGAGTACTCAAATTTTCGATCGCTTATTAATGCAAACACGCCTTCATTGATTTTGATAACATTAAGTATTGTTATGGGTATCTTGAATTGTGTTTTTTTCTAAAATTCCAATATCAACCAGAATATACACTTTTCATGCACATATAGAAAGGAGGATTTGCTTTTAATCAAATCCAATTGCTTGTTTTGAATACATAATTTTACTTCATTCATGAATAATTTATTTCTTATGTATATATCGTGGTATCACTGATATTATATATCTGGCATTCAAATAATTTGTAATATATTATCTTTCCTTTCCAGACTCAACATTCGCTCAACAAACTTCTGGAATGGGAAAATAGCAGGCTTTATAACAAACTGGGTCTTCGCTGGCGACTCACGAAGCAGCACTGTGACTCTTCCTCCATGATGGAATATGTGTTACTAATAGAATATATACCCAAAATACCGATTTACAGGCCTGACTAAAGCCTCCTTGTAAAAAACACATCTCAGACACAAAATTCGATTATTCGCAACCCTTGTAAATAGATAAGTGTACAATTTAATTGTTATAATAGCTATATTTCTAATGCCCTGTGAATTTTAAGTAGTACTAATAGCAAGTTCATAAATTACATTTAATGATCTTCAGAAGTCTACTTTGAAGCAAAGTATTTTTATTGTTTCTGATACATAAGTTTACTGTTAAATGAGGTAATTGTGTAACAGCGTTAACACTAATAGCAAGATTATAGGATCGATTAATCAATTAACTGGCCATTTCTATGTTGTATTAAATGCGAACAACAACGGATAATATAATCGAGTCATTGGTCGACACAATAAGTCTGCCTGCGCTGATACTTTTAAAATTGCAAAAGTGTTAGATTATTTTATACAATCGACATAATTTCCTTGGGATATTTTTGTCTATGGTACTCGCTTCAAAATATAATGGCCGCCATCCGCGAATAAAAAAATGAAGATTTCATATCGATGATTACCAGGGCATTATAAATAAATGGCTATCGTGCTTTTTGTGTATAGACGTCACTTTATTAAATTTGAAGCTTTGATTGTGTTAAAAGCGATGTTATCTTAATGTGTAATGTATATAAGGCTAAAGTTAGGTTTCGCAAGAATTAGACGGACACGAATGAGGCTAGTATGTCTATATTTTTGAATTTATTGATTTCTTATAGCATTGCTTCAGATATTTGTATCTGAGAGCTTATGCGAAGCTATCATGCCCCAAAACATACAACTAGATACCTAATCAATTGTTACACTAATTGTAGTTCACGAGTAAATTTTGGTATATTGATTTCAGATAAATAGGATGAAACAACTTCACTATACTTTAGTTCTTTACAATCTATGTTTTGAATCATTGAGCTAAGTCTATAACTTTCATCTTATACCAACACCAACTTTTTTTTTTATTAATTACAAAAAGGATTCAAATACTGTTAGCCTTTTAAAATTGTAATTATTTTCACTTGCATGTATTATATTATTTAAAAAAATCTACCTACGGTATAATTCACTAGCTCAATATGGTTGAGAGTAGCACGGATCGCTGTGAAATGCTATTTTTATCGTAATTCAAAACTAAATAGTTTTAATACTGTCTATAGTTTACGCGAGCAGTACACAGTACGTATCGATACGTACGTAGTATATATTTAATAGGTTTTTTTATTTTGTAATTATGTTCACATGTAGGAAGATACAAAAACGTTATTAATATGGTAAAATAAATAACTACCTAAGTGTAATCAGACGCGATTTTTAAATTCCAATCGTGCGTATACGCACATCGTTTACGATTTGATGAAGTAATTGCAATGGTATCTAGTCGTATAATGAGTACAGGCATAGAACACGCTTCGCTCAACCTGTACTTCGTGCGACATCTACAATAATTGCCTCAAATAATCCGAATTTCACGAACAATATCGAAACGATTATATTTTATGTACCTGAGAGTCGGCACGTAACGCGAAAATCAATTTTGGTATCCAAAAATCGAAATAATGTTAGGAAAGTTAACGGGACTGTGTTATTAGAGAAGTAATTGTTTATAGTAGGTCTATGTTAGGCGAGAATCATTGGTTATAATGAGGCAATCCAATGTGACCGATCGTTTTGTTTGAAAGTAATTGTGTTTTATTCAAAAACTTAATTTCTTGTAAATAATGTTTTGTAAGAAAATTTCCAGTATCAGTCGGGAGTCCGGTGGAGTAGAAGGTATGAGCTCCTCTCCTGTCTTAGAGTCACGTTAAGTCACCTCTTGTAATCAGAATCGAGTAAAACGATCGATCGTGTTTTGTTTTCTCTTTCGATTATAATCTCTGTCTCTTTTTAACCCGTTGTATTATCACGAGTATCGTTCATCATTGGTCTCTGAGGGCCCTACATATAGGGAGATAAAAATGATAATTCGATTACAGCAGTACATACTATTATGCTTTGAAAAATGATCTCCATTCATAAATTTACAAATCTCACTTAATTTCATACAACGGTTAAAAAGTGATAAGGTTGCGCTATGTTAAGACGTAATTAAGTGAATGTAAATATTTTAAGTACATACATAATATAGATTATTTTTGTTCAAATAATAAATCTCACAATGTGATATAGCTGTTTTAATCTGAACTTAATGCGTGAACGATTTCAGAGGGAACCTTTTAATTCACAGTGTTACGTGGGGTAGTCGCTGATTTAAATTAGTGTCAGCAGTAGTTGACTGATACTGGCTAGGGCTTTTTTTCCCCCTAATTTTAAATTCAAGATTCATCATAATTTGTCTAACCAATGAGCCACTGATGCAATAACATGAATTGATATTTTAAAACACTACGTCATTTAAAAGGATCAGTTACAGGTTTTCGAAATAAAGCTAGATTTAGGCATGAGATTTTATTATAAATTAATATTTTACATTATACAATTGATAATACTAAGGCACTTTATGTTATGGTCCCGCGATAAAAAACTAAACAGCTGATCATGACACAAGGAAACTATGTTTATTATGCGTTATATTGCAAGACTTCCTACAAAATGTACAAAAACGAACTTAAAAATATATTACAATTTTTGTTAACACTCCTTTTTATCCAATACATATTTACAAGAGACTAGCTATCAACTAAAAATAGGTATTTAATGGTTCTTAGTTCTTACATCCTCGATATTTTTTTAGTAGTTGTAGATTCGATTCCAAGTTAGCGACTAGTAGATCGATATGTGATATGTCGCCCTTATATAAAATCTACAATTTTATGATATCAGATAGATCTCAAGCTTAGCTCAGATTCAGCTTAAATTACGCTTAGCATCTTATAACTCCGATCTTTCAGCTAAGCTAAACTCAAGTAAGAATTGCAGCTACATACGCCCATTTATACATCCTGATTTTATCGCTTTGGAAACAAATACATGAAATATAATTTGTGGATATAAAAAAATAATAATTTGTGCGTTATAATTCAATCTTGGTTCTTTTGGCAGTGTGAGAATAGAGTGCTTTTCCTGGCATGAAACATAAAATGAAGTTAAAATAGTTTAGTCAAAGATAGTGAAGTCATACCAATTAGTGACGAGTACATTTATGTTTCATTGATTCGTTTCCAATTGACAAAATCACGATCCTTTCTTATTCATAGTAAACCACACTTTCTCGCAAAAGTATATGGTTACATATAAAAATATTTATATACTTAGATTACCGCTTGAAACATTATTTTTTAGACTTTTATCTCAATCAAACATCCTTTTTAGATTAAAAAACATCGATTACAGCTATTGAAAAACTTCGAATCACCCACCTCGATTATAGGCTGATGCACGGTACGCTGAGTCGCGCATTTGAGTCCCGCCAGTGTTATCGATTTTTTTTAAACTATAATAGATTTTCAATTTATACTTAGATTATGTTATACACAACCATTACCCTAATTGTTTATATTATAATATTTAACATTCAGTCAAAGCTTTAATCATGGTGCGTTATAAATTCCTTGCCGCGATCTAGGTCAGTTTATAAAAAGCTCTTAAATTACTATGGCAACAAGATAGACAACACATTTTTATTTAACGCGTGCAGCTTTTGTCTGATTTAAAATTAATTATTGCACAGGATCATTTTTATAGTTTAGCTTTTTAGACTTGTAAACATATATGTATAGGAATATTTTTCGTCATAGTGGTCAAAGCTATTAGACAACTAAAACAAGATGGCGGATATCGGTTGTAAACATATTGCCCGAATTGTGATACAGATATAATTTCACATTTCACGCAGTATAGAAGTTTTATAGTTTATATTAAATAAATATTGTACAAGGAAAATACATTTTTAGTTGAAAACCTAAACACAAGTCTTGTTGGCATAAAATTACTAGGATATTTCATATCCGTCCGATAAAAAATAAATCACCCAAGTTTTCTAACAACACAAATACGTATACAAGTCTGAACAGTTGATAATTAAATGTAGATAATAGACGCGCTTCAGTCTTCATTCAACAATCACATCTTACCGTCTAATAAATTTCAATCAGGCAATATACAGATCATAATATTCTTTAAGTGGCCGTAGACTATACAATTTTACTAACGAAAATCCATAGACCATTATTGTCTCAAACATTTAAATTTTCGAAGCTTTCTTTAATCTCATGTGTCTATGGTCTGAAGCAGAAACGTTTTCGTAAAGAGTTCATACTACATCCCTTATTAAATTGTTTATGGTCTTAATTCTTGTCTCCGGCCTTGCCCTGATTTATACTAACTAATTTGAACGTAATTGACTGGGAATTGACCTTTGAGACCATTGCACTCACCGAAGTACCACTCCTCGTTAATTTTAGATAGCACAGTTATATTATCGCCTGCATTGAATCCCAGGTCCCCGTCCTGCACTGGAGAAAAGTCATATAGTGCAAGCGCTGTCCCTAAGCTGGTATTCCCATCGCTGGGCAGGGGCACCTTGACTTCGACGAAATTCGAAGGGAATACCCCTTCAGCGCCCGATTTCAGCTTCCCGTACATCCATTCGTCGTTCACCCTCCTGACTAATATTATTTTCGATCCAGCCTAAAACAAAATAATGAATCGTTTTAGAGTAATTCAAAGAGGTATGTATGTATTTTAGGTGAGTGGTACATATTAAAAAAAAAGGACCACCACGTTTTTATTATGAGTAGTTGCAGTATCGGCTAGTCAACAGGACGAAACGATTGGATAAACAACATTCTTAACATAAGTATGTATTCTTATACAGAACATATAACATTTATACAGAACTACCGTAAATAAAACCATTTTATTTGTTTAATACACGATAAAACGGAAAATCCATTGGAAACATTCAAACGATCGGTCGTCTCTGGAAAGACGGAAGATAAAAATAAACAGTTTTATTGAATCATACAAGTCAGTAACATGTCTGTTTACATTATTTATTAGGAAAGAATCGAGTTAATAACCTTGTGTCGCCACTTATCGCTATTAACAATTATTGTAATACAGATGCATACTTCCAAGTTACGCAATTAATAACATAGGTCCACGGACTGTTGCTTGATATTAGAGCTAATATAAAAATCTAGACACTTCGCACAAATATTTAAGAACAAAAAAACAAGATTAAGCTCAAAGCTGAAAAGAAGAATTTAATATAAATAAGTTTCGATTAGAAATTGTAGTCAACGCGAGTAGTACGAATTTGAATATGACACTTAACGGTTTAAAACGCGAGCTACGTTGGCTAATTTATTTTTAACTACGATCCAACGTTTCTGAATCATTGCAGTGACTATATTTCGACTTTAAAACAGTTACAAAAACAACTCTTTCGATAAAAAAGCTTTTCAAATTTAATATCAATGGATACCTGAGAGAATTTTATAATTAATTTAGAATTCAAAGTAAACCTATTTAATACTTGGCGAAATTATTACTTTAGCTATTTCTCAATACCTTATTGGTAAATTTATAAAACGAACGGACGAACATATTATGTTGAAAAACTAAAGCTTGAAGTAAATTGTACAAACAATAATCCTTACTAAAATTTAAAAATCGAAAATAAATTGAAAAAATTTTTCGACTCGGGCAGGACTTGAACCGGCATCGTCAGCTTTCCGTGCTGTTGCTCTACCAATTGAGCTACCGAGTCCTACACCTCATCGTCGAATTTCTTCAACTTATTGATACATGCACCTCTCGCGCAATGTAATTTCTACCTTAACACTTGCGTATTAAGGAAAAAAAAATTTTTTTTCAATTTATTTTCGATTTTTAAATTATATAGTGCCTTCATGTGCAATAACATGTGAAAAATATTAATGTTTTCAATCCTTACTAAAACATAAAACTTGCTAGCTAGCCTAAAAAGATAACACCTAACCTATTTAATGAATATCCATGCGTAGTAACAATAATTCCTATTAGAATCGCAATGCAATATTTTCTTAATCGGATGAAAACATAGAAATGTTCCGAAGGAAATACCGGCATTATGGACTTAAGAATAACCTCAACCTGCCAAGTACCCTATAAGCTCTACGCATTAAGAAATTCGGAAATAGAAGACTGGGGCTAGATGTAAATGTTTATGGGTGAGGTTTAAGTTTTTTTTTTTGGAATTATTAACTGCCTAGGTTATTATCGAATGGTTCAACGGTTAAATACATTGTCTAGCATGCGTTGAGTATGGATATCACGTTTAAATCTCGGGAAATAATAAATGTTTAATATAAACCAATAGATATATGCATAGATTAGAAATATTACGTGTCTATGCTTATTCGATTCTGCTGAAAGCTTATTTGAGACGTAATACGACGTATAGACGTAACTATTTAAAATCATCTAAAATTGATACATTCAATAGATTCCTGTATAAATAATTTATTAATCAACGAAGTACATTATTACGACCTTGTTCTAATATAGATCTATAGAAGCAAATACAAAGGACGCAATACTTGATTGAGATAAATCACGCCAGCCGCTAACGTAATTTCGAATTACATAACAAGTTATTTTTTAAAAGAATTTCTTAATCGAATGATGAAATTGCAAGTGCAGTAATATAAAATACAAATACAAATTTAAGCTCTTTTACTAACTCTAACTACCAATACTACAATAATTAATTTATATTACAAACGATCAAAAGGAAGTCCGTCTCAATGTGATCAGCTTTGTTTCTGGAGGAATTATAAAATTTGGAGTAGGAGACAAATATATGTAGTTAGTATATAAATTATTAAATACACATTTAAAGTAATGCACATTTAAATAAAACACTTTAAAACGCGATATATTAGTTAAACTTATTTGGAAATGATTTTTAACTTCGGCCCGACATTTGCAGCAGCCGTGGTCACGAGGAGACTGTCTCACAGTCTCCCTAAGTTAAACTAATATATCGCGTTTTAAACCGTTAAAGTGTTTTATTTAAATAAATAAAATGTTTGTCAGTCTGTGGTTTACGTTTTTTCTAGCACCTTTAATATATTTTAAGGAAGAAGTTGTTAAATTATTCGAAAAAAAAATGGCGCGAACTTCGCAGGCTGTATACATATAGGTAAGTTTTAGAAATCAAATATGGCGGATTTTAACCTCAAAATTTCGAAAGAATCGAAAATCCGCGTTTGAAGTTTACGCTTGTTTTTTGTTTGTGGTACTGTTCCAAAGCCTTATAAAAAAGAAATTAAGAAACAAATTGCCACAGTAACTTTAATTACATGATCGTAGAAGACAGTATAATGATTGTCAGTGTTCCCTTGATTTTAAAAATAATCCAATCCTTTTCAAACAACTGAGAAGGAAAGACAATCATGACTCACTTGATGGAAGGTAAGAAAAACCACAACCACATAACATCAAAACAGTATGAAGGTCGACAGGCCTTTTTTGGCTTTATGCCTTCATTTTACTCCTCTTTAGAAATGTACTGGAAGACCTAATATAACATAACATAAAACGTTGTAAAATCTACACGTAATATTAATTGAAAAATATGCTTTTCGAATAATCAGCTGGAAGCGCCGATATTTAAGTTCCTGTCGATGATATGACAACGTATTATCAATGATGACGCCTTCCGCTTTTGCAGTTGAGTTTTGCGGGGTAATATCGTTGCTCGTTGCCATTACTCTACGAAAAGTGGAAAGAGATTCTGATACGTAATAATTTAAACAATACATTTTTCGAGTCTTAACAAATTTACTGTTTTTTTAGGGTTTATAACTTTACATTCTTGATATGGGCTTACTTATTTAGAGTTATGTTTAAAAAATATACACAGGCGTGAAAACATAAAAAAATGTAAGTACACAACTAATGAAGATATTCTGTGTAGTACTTAAGTAAATTTATCCAACTTATAATCGAACATACCGGGTCTCGAGCCCGTAACCTACATTGAGACGTGTCTAAATAATACGTACTGTCTATTCTCAAGTAGAAGTCTCACGTGTACCTACGTGTGAAAATTATATTATTCAAATTTGCCATGTGTTTGTATCAAGAAATAAAAAAGGTTGGACGTCATAACACACAATGGCAATTTACCTCATTGACACAACACAAGCAAACACAATTGTGTCAACAGTTGTGATAATGAAGAAATAACACATGTAGTTATTCGTAGGAAAAAACCGTATTGTCACTGTCAAGTTATACATATTAAGTACGACCAGGTATCGAACTCCCGACATCACAAACTGAAGTACTACTACTGCTGTCAACGAGGAGTTATACATTTTTTTAAACAAGGTTCACTTGAAAGAAGGTAAAGTACCCCAGCCAGTTAACACCTAAACAAGATACACTGCTATTGTATCTTTGATTATTCGGAAATAGACAGACTAGGCCACCATTAGGCCAACGTGCCTGTCAATAGAAATGTATTTTAAGAGATGGGAAAGTGTCTTAGCAAGTACTCAACGAGTCGAAGAACTCAACAAAATGGCAATATTTGAACAATTGGTTCACCATGAACCTCTAAGGTGACCCCTTTGAGACACAGTAAATATGAAATTGGCTTGGCTATTTATAAATTCTATAAAGTAGCGGACACAAACATGCAAATAGTTGAAATGTAAACACTGGAATATTTTGTGGAAGCATTACTTTTTGAAATAAAACAATATCTTATTTTTTAACCCAAGTTTAAAATAAATTATACATAAGTTAACTAATATACATCGCGTTTTAAACCGTTAAAAATGTTGTATTTAAATGTGCACTACTCGCGTAAAGTGGCATACAATACTATCTTGCTAGGATTAGCATATTGTCCAATAAAAAAACCTGTAAACATTATTCGTAAACGATACTAGGGGCATATCAATTTCATAACACATTACAACACGTTGATAACAAGTCGCCGTGCGTAATAGGGTACGCCTCCCGGTAGTTCAGAGAATACTGTACTGTAAATGACCACACGAGGAAAACCAGATCAATTTTCCCATTTTTAATTTAAACACTCTTAACGTTTTAAAACGCTAAGTATAGAATGGACATGGCTATTGCAATCCTAATAAGGAATAATAACCTAAATAAGTTAAATAATATGTAATTATATAATTTCGTGTTTTAAACCGTTCTAAGTGTTATTTTAACATAAGTAGCTTTATGCAGTATCTGCACTAATTAGTAGTCGTTTTCCAAAACTTAACTAACAAATAAGGACTTAAACTATTTTTTTGGGTTTATATGTGTCAATTTTTAAAAACACTTGTAACTGTATTTTACTCACCGAAAAATACAAGTCCTCTGAGTGGTCGGTGAAGTAATCGAATAACGCTATCGCGTGAGGTTCATCTTCATCGCTGTGGCTGTTAGGAACCTCATCGAAATCGGGAAGGTCTTCTGGCCACACCACCGGAAGGTCTTCGTCGACAATGGGGGGTGGCGGGGGAGGTATGCTGGGCATTGGGGGTGTTTTCTCTCTTTCTGGCGACTCTTCGCGATCCCAGCTTAAATGCTTGACGTCCTGAAATATTAAAGAACTTACTTTTAACACTTGATAGACTATTACTTAATTATTATCTATTCAACAGTTGAAAGGAATAAACACAAACAAAAAAAATCGCCTTCACACAACTAAGTAGTGTAGACAAGATGATCTTTATCTATCATAAAAGTTCGAAAAATATCTATAATAAGCTGAGCAGTTTGTTTTTTTGTTTATTTGACTCCGCTAATCTCAAAAACTACTTCGAATCGAAAAATTATTTGTGTGGTTTAGGTAGGTAGGAAACGTGAAAAAAAAACGGGTATAAATACGGGCTCGAGATACCCAAAAAGTATGTATGTAATAATGTTTCCTCCTGATATGTCTATCTTTTATGGTTAACTTGTAAGAACGACGGGGAGCGACAGACGTCGTAGGTAACAGCTTAAATTTATACAGATGAAGAGGACGTTTACAAAAACAAATTTGATTGCGCAAAATAAGAATAACTATTCTACACAGGCGAATCCGCTGACACAGCTAGTATGATACATAATAGCACACAGCACTGTAATTTTTAAAGATCGCTTCATATCTCTCTTTATAATTTGTTCATTAAGAAGTATTATTATAGACTTCACTATTATCTATGAATATTTTAAAGTAAGAAATAAATACCCAACATAATCTACTGTTATTGTTATTCCAACTGTAAATACTGACTTGACCTCAATAAGCCAATTGCTAATTAATCTTTTATTTATGCTGATCTTAACTCGCATTTATACCTAATAGGTAAACCTTAAAACCTATAGAAATATTAAACCGATTTTTATGGCTTTACTCAATTTAATATTTAAGTAAGTAAGTAAATACACGTGTATTTAAGTTAATTCCGCGTAATATTAATACAAATACATGGAACAACAATTGATATCCAAAAAATACATATGTACACAAAATGTAAGAATACTTCCGAATAGTTTTCATACAAATATCATCCGCGACTGACAGACGCACAGTCTATTGATGCCTGAAACCGGCCCTTATACTTCAATGAGCCCAAAGTCGTACGACCGTGTAATCCCTTAACAACATATAAAACCTGATGCGCAAAAGCCGACTCATCGCGAGTTTTTGCTAATTTTAGTTAACGCCATTAACCGTAATTAACATTGAGAACATTCCTATTTTTGGTAATGATGCACAAACATTCTAAATGCAACAAACAATTGAAAAGGCGAGGTGAAACTAAGTAACTTGCTACTTTTATAAGAATAAAAGAGTTTGTAATGTCGCGTTTATGTCAGGAACTACTGGTTCGAATTGATTTATTTTTCTTTTGATTAGATCTATCGAAGAAGGATCACAATGCATCCAATACGAGCGAAAAGAGGAAAAAAAAAAAAAAAAAAAAAAAAAAAATTCATTTTGGAAAAGGGAATTTATCCCGTGGCATTTTTATACCCAAAAAAATTTATCTACGCGGACGAAGTCGGTGGCACGGCAAGTATAAGAATAAAATTGCGATTGCACGACCATCTAGATTACATATGGATACAAAAAATCATATTATGCTAATTTCAATTATTACTGCCTAAAATTTTTGGTGTCTTGGTCATGAATTGCATGTGTATAACTGAAAGAATATCGTTTAATTAGAGAAAAACGCGATTTAATGACTAGTCTACAAAAGCCTTCTTTAAAATATTCGTAATTTAGCGGCCGTTCAGTCAAGTGGGAAACACATTAACAAAAAATAACCTACGTAATCATGAGAAGTTAGTTGGGTAATACGAAAATTTGCGTGCACGTTTTTCGACAAAAAGTTGACAATACAGTATATCATTATCATTTGATGGTGCATTATAATTACTGAAAAAATACGATATTAGCCAGAAGTGAAAAAACACTAAACCTTGTGTAAAAAACTTGGCTGTATAGGAACTACTTTTACTTAGACAAGTATAACTAGTTCATTCAGGAACTTTTTTTTATATATTGCAGACAAAACTTAGCAATATTATATATAAAAGAACTTACATCTGACATCAAGCCATTATTGATCTTCTGTATTGGCGTTGTAGTATTAATATTCATAGTCGCCATTTGAAAACTGCTGCCAAAAGTACTCTTCAATAAAGCAGAATTATCTGGTGGTTTAGGCCTAGCTGGCTTCGCCCGTATTATCGTTGGGCCTTTAAGAGGTGGTACTGAAGACTGACTTGTCATTGTTTCAAAGGGATCTTTACTTATCACTGGCTTTTTCATAATTGGAGGTTTATTAACAGGAGGAGGTGAAAAGGGATCTATTGCAGAAAAGTCATCTAATGTATCCTCTTTGCTTATTGGCTTTCTAGAAGTAAGGAAGAGATCAAAATCGTCCTCAAAACCGCTCTCTGCCTGTGATGCATTTCCCCCACCTATGGCATTTCTATTATTTGTGGAAGTTGTAGCATCAGATCCAAAACTATCAACGCTAATGCCATCACTACTAGATCTTGTAGTAAATGTTGGAGAACTTGGTGGAGATGAGAAATCTATGAGAGTAGCCGTCTGTATACTTGCTCTATCACATCTAGGAAACAATTTGCTATTATCTACTTCATTAAAATCTGGTGTTGGCTGGTTAACTGCCTGTTGAACTGTATTCTTGTTTTTACGGTTTAATAATGACGTCAATACTGTGGGTTTACGTATGAAATGAGATGGTTTTGCTGAGACTTCGGGCTGCCTGTTCACTTTAGGTGGTGGAGGACGAGGAGGCGGTTTTTTCTTCTGTGCATGTAAAGGTGATGGCTCAAAGACCTCGGAAGCAAATGGATCATCATTCCAATTTGTAACTGGTGAGTAGCGATGAACCACTCCAGGAGGCAGGGGAGCTGGTCTACTTGGACCTTTCATACCTGTTATTAGAAGATAAAGTAAGTTTCAGACTAAAATTTTTGTTTGTTGACATGTACAAAGACATGTACATTGCCTAGGTACTTTAAATAAGGAAATCATATCAATAATCTTTATCTTATAATTTTAACACAGCAAATTTTAATCAAATAATACTTACTAAAATTAAAACTATATCAAAATTATCGGGGGCTGTTTTTAAGCGTATTTTACACAAGCAATGGAAACCCGAAACAATTCACATAAATGTATTTCTGGATCAATGTTTACAATAATACTGAATGCGAAATACGCGATATACAACAACGGATATGGTCAAACATGATAACTTTTTGATAACGTTCAGATCCACCCACAATGACTAAATTAATTAGGCTTTACGCAGTATCACTTACGTACCAGGTACGGTGAGGCGCGGCCTTGGTTGAAATCGTTAGAACATGTTGACGTTAAACGATATATGCACATAAAAATAATATTACATAAACTGAATTTATGTAAGTTTCTACAAGTAGCGAGACACGAACCTTGTCTGAACAGATCCATCACCAAGAGACGTCACCGTTGAGCGTAGTTTTGCAACGCAATTAAAAAACAGGCTAGTTTCAAACAACAAACTTCCGTTCACAGTTCTTTGTCACTGCACTTGCAATTATATTAGAATAATCTCTAGCTGTAATAGTATTTCAATTAATAATGTTAAAGCGTAGTAATTCGTAACTTAGGACAATTCGTTCACACCACCTAATTTCTTGTCGTTAACGTATATATTTTTTTTTTGTATTGTCTCGTTCTTCAAACAAGGCTGACAGAAGATCGACTGCTTTAATTATGACATTTGTGACAACGAACTGTCATTTGACATGACAGTTCGTTGACGTCTTAAGACATATTAAATGGTTTTTTTAATACCATTGGTCAAAAACAAAATAACAATTATAATTCATACATTCATTCCTTATAGGACACATGACATTGGTAGAATCCATTTGGAATGGGAAAGCCATTAAATTAAGAAGAAAAAGATAATGCGATATATCAAATTTTGCTCCTTTCATAACCTTAAATCACTGTCAATTGAACTTGACAGTTTACTTTTACTTCTAAATAAAAACATCCAAACATCCGGTAATTTCCACAAAAATTCGCCGTTTTCCCATTTATCCAACTTTTCACTCAAAATATTAAATATTCCAGTAGTAAATTTATATAATACTACAAAGAACAATTATTAGAGACCTGTTGACTAGGTTATGGGTACTTATCAACGATAAAGAATATGGATTGATTTCTTCTAGAAGATGTTTAAAGTTAATATGTTAAGGGCTAGATTATTTTATCTTATCAAGTCAACGTGTAGACTAAATAGAAAAAAGCTAACATGTGGAATTCGCAATGTAACACCGGTCACATTTGCTGTGCTCACCGCTGTAAAATGTGATGAGCAGAAACACGAATTCACCGATATAACCGACGGAGAAAGTTTAGAACATGAATTTCTAATTCGACAAGCTACCACGGTTAATGTAAACGCAGCTACACAACTCCTTACTGTAACACTAGTTGCAATCCAAGATACTAGCGAAAGGTTGTTTTATTTATGCATCTTAATTCTTAATTGGTATACAAATTTATTATTATTCGTTTTGTTAGGTTAAGGGATGCCCTATCAAAGGAAATATGTCTTGTACAACAAGCTCTTGAATGGGGCGAAGAAGCCACACCTGCACAGCACTGGGACCAGCTTGTAGCTATCCGAGGAGCATTGTGTGATCTTAACCATAATCTTAGAGTACTGTTCAGTAAGTAGTTTAAGATTTTTTAATCTTTTGTTTATCTCAAGTTTTTATTAAATTGCTATCAATCCTTCTACATAGGTATAGCTGTATAATTGAATACTAATTCCTCCTTATAGGTTATTTGGATTATGCAGAAAAAATTGCAACGGTTGCTGCAGAGATCTCTTTTCTCTCTGGAAATACTGCTGCATCAGATGCCATTTGTGAGAGAATAGATCATGCAACTAGGTAGTTAATAATTATTTAAAAAAAATATATTTGCACACCCAAATGACACAAATATTTAATACAAAAAGTTTATTAAAGCATACATTTTCTTATAGTTACTAGAATTGTTTATAATATACATGCATTTGTACAATAACATTATATTATAAACTTCACTAATAACATTTAGAACACAACAACAGAACAATTTTATACAACTTAAATAATTTTCAGTTGCAAGTCAAAAATCAGACATTATTTATTCTTATATTAACTTTGAAGAAGTTGTTATGACATTATTAAATAAAATCTAGTCGTAAAAATATATTTCCATTAAATTAAACACAACCTATTTATGTTTGATTATGGACTTGCAAGTAATAACAAAATATGAATAATAATGATTAATTTAATTGATATCATATTATTTAATAACTTATAGAGATGTTTAAATATTGTTTTTCTTATTATAGGTCTTGTAATAATCAGAAGAAATTGACTCATGATCTGCAACAAGAGAGCTTAGAATTACAACAGCAGGCAATAATAAGTTCACCACATTTGGAAGATAAACTCAAACAACAAGACGAGAAAAGAAAAAAATAACAACACACTAGCCTAATTATGTAAATAGTTTTCATAGAATAAGATGAGACAATAAAATTTCTCGTTTAACTGATTTCATTGACTTAAAGTATTATAAAAACTTTATATACGCACTTAAGATAATTAAAATGTGGCATCCTTGCTGAGATGTGTTTCAATGTCCACTCGGCAGATGGGGCAATGTTTATTTGTGCCAAGCCACTGGTCAACACACTCCATGTGAAACAGATGCATACAAGGTAGGCGTCTGTGAAGTAACAAAAAGTTTTAATAACTACTTATATATAATAATATACCACCTTGCATGACAGCTATCAGAGAAACTGAGACACAGTTATGTGTCTGCCCTAGGTGACCTGGCATGTATCCATGTGTAGATATTACATTCAGGGGCATAGATAGAAAGCTCAATATCAATATATAATACAAATTATATAAATCTTTTGCTGGCATTTTGCAAAGGTTTTCAAGCTGTTTGGCAGTTGTAATTATAGGTGTGTCCTCACTAAGTCAGGAAATGCTTCTAATCTCCTAGTGATGGTCAGAAGAAAACGTCGACTCAATTACAAGCCAAAAAGCTCAAAAGCCCAGAGAAGGGTCAATGGAGAATAATATAATCTCACAATCTTTAGATATATACTACTAGACAACTGAAGTGGTTATAACGTATACAAATATCTCTGACACTACAGACCTATAAAGCAATAGATATTGTGTAGTTAAAGAAATAGTCTAGTCACCTGCAGTCCGAGTCAACCTCAAACACTGAAAGACAAATGGTGCACTTCTCATCTTGATGGTGTGGAGCGGGGCGCGCATAGGCATGTCTATAAGTGTTGCGCTCGATAACAGCACGAGACGCTCCTCGGTATTCCCTTCGCGCCTGCGCTTCCGGTATCTGCAGGAGCGCCGCAGCTGCGAGGCCCGCTTGACTGCTCTGCTGTGTTAATAAGACATAGTTAGGTAGCCCGTGTTTACGTGGACTAATCATCGGTGACCCTACTGAAATCCTGTTTCTCCCTCGTGGGGCGTGGAGCTAACACATTTCTGTGTCAAATAATTGTAAAAAGAAAAATTCTTCAAAATCATCATCTATACCTCAAAAGCAGGTATCATTCATACCCAGTGTCAAGGGCGTGTTCATTCATATATTTAACGCTCTAATTACCATTTATTGCCTCTTTTGGAGTCGCAAAATTGTTATAACGGTTTTCAACTTCGAGAACTGTCTAAAAATAGACAAAGACTGCGGGCACTGCACGGGTAAACGCAATACTATCCACCTCAGACTCACAAACTATAAGCGCAACTCAAATGATAACATCACAACATTTAAACTTAGATATTTACTTACACTATATTCATTTACTTATCCTAATTTTGAATCTTGTTACTGGTATAACATTCCAATCTATTTTCTTTTATCCTAATTGCGTATACGGGTTTATATCTTTTTTTGGTTGCCCATTACATTGTTTATTAATTAGATTAGAAATTAACATTAATGTTATTGATGTTATCTTTAAAGTGCTACCGCGTCTCTGTCAACTTTACGTAAATAGGCTATAATTACCCTTTAACTTAGGTAATCTTTTTTTTATTGACTGTTCTTAACAATCTGTGTTTGATTTAAGTGACGATGCGATCAAGTTCCTCCGCCATTACAAAAATTACTTTGAATTACGTAAATAATAAACAATAATCTAAAAGTTTTGCAATTCAAAATAGACATTTTTCATCTGATGTAGGCGATTATAGGCTAATATAATAGACAATAGTTCTTAAAGTTAAAGTAACACATTGCAAATAGCTTACCACAACAGACGGCTGTATTGATATATGTAGGTGTGGGGGTCGCATCTGTAGGTAATGATGCATATGGTGGTGAAGGTGCCCGTCCCTGAAACAAAAAAAATAGGTTCTATAGTTTACGCGAGTAGTACACATTTAAATAAAACGCGATATATTAGTTAAACTTATTTGAAAATGATTTTTATATAAAATTCAATTCTGCAAGGACCCAGCCAGTTTTGCCAAATACCAACTTCGACGAAACAGATGGCGCTAGCGTAGCAATTTTTTACTTTGACGTCAGAGACATCCAGTCTCCCCGTGACCACGGCTGCTGCAAATCATCCGTAACGTCGGACCGAAGTTAAAAATCATTTTCAAATAAGTTTAACTAATATATCGCGTTTGAAAACATTAATATTTTTCACATGTTCTTGCACATGAAGGCACTATATAATTTAAAAATCGAAAATAAATTGAATAAATTTTCGACTCGGGCAGGACTTTAACCGGCATCGTGTCAATGTCAAAAAAATCATGTCAATTCACAAGTCAATGGTTGGAAGTAATATCGAATCTCTTCCGGGTCATGAACCGGAAGAGATTCTCATTCCCTTCCCATCCCTTCGATATTACTCCCAACCAACTCCAACTCCAAATTACTCCAACTCTGTCATGTAATCTATCAGCGATGTTATATGGCTAGGGTACCTTACATCAAGTAAACCACGCTCGTCTTTCCTTTTCTGTCATGAATTAGACATAAATACGACACATGCAAACTCCGGCTGTCGTTTTAAATTAAAAAGCTAATACTTACAGCACCAATGGCGCGGGTTCTATATCCGGATCTAACACTTCAGAGAACTGAAACAATATTATTAATAAGTATAATATACATATATTGATAAAACATGTTTGACGGTTTAAAAGCGCGAAATGTATGCCTTGCAGCAGTCGTGTTGACAGAGGGATGACTACTGCTGCAAAGCATTCGAAACGTCGTGCTGTAGTTAATAAAAGTAAATAAATTTTAAATAAGTTATCTGGTTCATTTTTCGCAATAAACCGTTAAAGGTGTTTTATTTAAATGTTTAATCTATGTGTAAACTACAGACAAGACATAAATTACATAGCGCACATTGAGTGCAAGCATTTTATACTAAAGAAATAGGTGGATCAAGTTTTTTGTATGCTAGCCGACTTAAAAAATATTTCCCTGGGATTTCAATTTCCGGATACTTGGTCTTCTTGGTCTTATGGTAGCAATGTATGGTGAATAATCACCGGTTCGAAGGTTCGATCCCCATCGGATCCAACATTTTCTAGTTTTTCAATTTTCTGAAACATGTCAGACATCGTCTGGAAATCTGCATATGAAATGAGTGGTAGAAATAGCGAAAATTCCGTCCGAATATACAAAGACAAAAGGTAGACAGCGCATCTTGTGTGAGGTTTTATGACTGGGGTATTTCATCTCCATTAAGTGTACACCATGCTTGTCTGTCCTCTATATTAAAAAAAATACATGAGCCGTTGTGAACGACCGCAGAGTCACCTAGATAGCAGTTTACAAACTTACCACTGGTCTATGCCATGGCCGAGGGATATAGGACGGTGGCACTGAACCTATAAGATCCGGGTTCATGTTGCTCATTAAATTTCGACGTTGCATCTCCTGTAAAATAAAGTTAAAAGAACTATAAACATTGCCAGTTACTGTAGGTTGAAATTGAAAACTAAAATTTTTAAATAAAAAAAAATTACTGTCCCTCACGAGCACGGCTGCTGCAAAACATCCGAAACTTCGGGCCGTAGTTAAAATAATTTCCAAAAAAAGTTTAACTAATATATAGTAAATAGTACAGTCGCGTAAACTGTAGACAGTATTTAATTTCAAAATTTTTTACAACTCACATGATGCCATTATATAAATTAAAGATATTTTAGTTTGTACAACTTTATTTTCTAAAAGCTGTGTTTGTTCAATTCTTACCCGTGTCGTAATCTTCTTCAATCTAAAAACGATTTTTAATTTAGCATTGAGGATGCCTAAATAGGCCGTGCCTTATCCTTTATAGGAATGTAAGAAAAGAACTTACAAGTGTATGCTGTTGGCGATGCCACAACCTCGCGTGGACCAGGTAGGGGGGACTAACAGTTGTCGACAAGGCATCACAGCGACGGTCACTCACTGAAAATAAAATTTAATAACAGACTAAAATTGAAGAAATTCACAGTTAACAAGCTGCTCTGTTGCTTTAAGCGATATCTTCGTGTAAATTACCCCATAATTATCAGGGTCGCGTAAACTCTAAACTGAGTAGCACATTTTTGTAAAACATGCTGGACTTCGCCTGGAAATCTGGATAGTAAGTGGGTTGAAGGAACATAGAAATTCCGTCCGGGTCACAAACCACCGTCTATAGATGAAAAAGCCGTGATGCTTAATTGCGTTTCAGTTTCAGTTTGGATTTCCGAATATCCAAAGCAACAAATAGGTTGACATCTTGTTTAGATGCTATATGCTGGGGGATATCACCTACCATCAAGTGAACCACATACCATGTCTGTACTCTATCATTTAAAAAAAATTGGAATCCTTGTCCACTCTTTAAACTTTCTAAAGTATATATCTCATGGTACAACTTACAATGAGCATGCGGAGGAACAACGTGATGAAGATGCGCGGCATGCGGATGCGTTGAATGCGCGGGATGCGCATGCGCATGTGCATGAGCATGTGCCGGCTGCTGCGGTGCACAGCAACATCCGCGACACGGCAACATGCATCTCACCCTGGAATCAAATATGACATATTTATTAAGAAAAGTCACTTTAAAACTACACATCAATGACTCAAAGTCAAAGTCAAAAACATATGGTCACGTAGGTAACTAGCTACACTTATGAACGTCACCTCAGTTAAAAACTAGACTCTAAATTTACATTTACTACCAGTTCTCAAATCAAGGGCGTAGAACGAACGAGAAGAACTGGCAAGAAACTCGCCGCCACTCCTTTTGCTTGTTTGACCACATATTGATTATAATTATTATTGAAATAAAAATATATGTATCTAAAAATATATTCCAAGCTTCAAAATAATGACATATGTACTTTTATTTTCCATTTCATCAATTTTAATCTAGTGAGTTAGAAAAAGGCGATGTCATAGAAAAACTCCTTCGAAAGAAACAAATTTGCAAGCACTACACATCTCTTGAATGGGTTCCCTATACTCGTAAGACTTCCAGTACCAAGCGCAGATATGAAGCCCCACTTTGCACTACATCGGGTCTTCTAAACACTTAAGACGTAGATTGTAAAGGAGATAGGACTTCACTTACAGCATTCTGTCATATGATCCAATAGTAACGTACACTGCATCAATATGAAACATATTGATAAAGATGTTTTGTTATGCCACACTTTTCTTAAAATATTGGTCACAAAATTGATTCAATATTTTAGAAGGACGTGGAACCTAGTTGAGCGGAAAAGATTACATTTACTACGGGTATTAGTAACACCTGTGGAACGGCGTATTTTATTGAAAACAAAGTTGTATATAAAAATATAATATTAATAAACTTAAAGGCCAACTCACCGGCTGATCATAATTCTTATTTTAAAATTTCTTGCATTATTTGAATTAGAATTATGTCTTTTAGAAAAGCCATGTCTTTTTATTATTAACTTATTTAAGTAATACTTATCACTAATCCTAGAAGTAGAATCCATTCATATTAGGAATGAAAAGTTAACAAAATTATTATAATAAATATACGTCGCAAGTCTTGGTAGTGATATTTCAATCAAGAATACCAATAAAAGCCTTGAAATCTATAAATCCTATTTCAGTGTAAAATTTAAAAGTTTGCGAGACGAATATCTGTGCAAAAGTGTTTCAGGTAGCAAAACATTATAGTTATTGAATTTCTATTATATATGAACCATTAGATTCATATTAAAGGCAATTAATTTAGAATTCGATAAATAAAACGTAAATGTTTTTGCGCGTATGATTTACGACCACTAGTTACAAATAAAATTATTGATATCGTTATTAAACAAAAGTCGTAAATTATAAGTACCGTGTTGAGGATATCTTATATATCCTAAAATAGCTAACAATCGATATATACAATAGTTCATGGTTAGTTCAAAAAATAAGGTTGTGTGTTTTTATATTACTTAAGACTGATAAAATGAATCTTGTTAGAGTGAGACTCAATCTTAGTGCCTTATAAATCTACGTTACTCAGTTTTAATTCGGTACAATGGTGCGTTCTCTACCCGACGTCCTATCTGTTGATGCATTATCGGGCACAGAAGTCAGATCAACTTGCCTCTCTATAAGACCTATCTATGTGGAACAAGAAACAGTAGCTGGATGTCGTAATAATATCTTACCTTGTCCTTACTAAATGCGCGTGACAAGGAACTGGGGCAGTATGACATAATGGCGGGTCTCGATGTGGCACGCTCTCGAACAGAGGTCTGGGAGACCTCACCGAACCCAAAGTCGCGGCGTTGCTATCTTCCTGATTGTCATTGCGATTCGGCGAACTTGTTAGATCAATTACTTCGCGCTGAAAACGTTGAATATAAAGGAAAAATATAACAAGAGCTGTCTGTAGATGAGAAATATTACAAATGCGATATGTTTAAGTAAAATACTTTAAAGGGTTAAAATGCGTAATTTAAAACCTAGTTAAAGTAAGTTTTAAATAATTTTCGTAAGTTTTAAATAATCGAAAACATCTTTGGTTTTATAAATCTACAGAAAAAATATGTATTTAAATGAAAATTTAACTGTAATATTGTTTCTCCATTATGATTATATTTCGACTAAATAGTCTTCAAATATTTTTCAACTTATTTCAACCTGATAATTGGAACTTGCTTGAAAAATAATAGAGAGTTATTATTACTGTTGTAATGTGTGTATAAGTGTTGTTAACTTACGTCTCTCTGTTCTTCTCCTAATACTTGGACGTCATCATCGGAACTGGAGTCTGATACCCAATCCAACTGCAAATCCGGTGCATATAAAACTCCCGGTAAGGAATTGTTCGGCCGCCTGCCACTTGTAGAGTCTTGATGTTCCTAAAAACAACTATGTTTTTAATAATAGCTATATTACAGATACAGGCTTCACCATTTTTATATAACTAAACTATTAAGATATAGACTTCAAATGATACGAGTTCGTTTTAATTTAAAAAAAAAGGAAAAATCTAACTAATGCTATATGAAATTTTTCATTTTCATACAAATCTTGGTTTTGTAGAAAATTTGTCGTTTATTAAACTTGCCTCGATGTAAGTTTACAATGGACACATTGCATTGTTTTTAAAGACATATTTTTCTCACCTGATTACGCCCTGCCGTTGTAGAGCTTCCAGCTTGAGGTAAATTTCTTGCAGAACTTGTGCTCGGTTGTGGAGTCTTCTCTTTAACCCTTCTGTCTCCAGCACCATCAATACAACACCTCTCTTGGTTTTCAGTTTTGACAGTAACATTGGCTTCCACCCTTTCAATGTCGCTACTCGGTTCCGATTTTACTACTGATCTATCAATGTTCTCACTTTTTATATTGCCCACACTCAATGCAGCAGTCTGTGTTTCTTTCTTTATGTTTACTGCTGAAACACCAGGTTCCTCTTTTACATGTGATGATGAAGGATACTGTACATTCCTGTGATGAATATGATGATGGTGGTGGTGATGAGAGCCATCGTGGAAGTTATAATGGTTTGTATGATTTCTCCCCTGTTGATTGGTGTGTCTGTGACTGCATGAGCAGTTAGTAGGTGGTGCATTCTCTTGTTTTATTTGTGTATTATGACAATGTTGAGAACCTGTAGCTTGCTGGCTGCTATTCCGTCTCCTAGAGGTATCATCCGGTTCTTGGATTGTTAAACGGGCATTTGTTTCAATTGGTTCTCGCTTTATATCAAGTCTAGTTGGATTGCCATGACTGCAGGCAGTTGCATGAGACGGTTGGCTACTACTCTGTTTAGGACCCGCTCCACCTTCACACTGCTTTTTTCTTGGCACAGACAAAGCATCTTCCTCTTCGGAGCTCACTTCTATTAAATTAGTATTGGTCTCATTCTCCTTTGACAATCTCCTTCTAGGAGAAATATTAAGCTTTCTACTAGGGCGCTCCAAGTTACTAAGAGAACTACCTTGTGATCTCATTTCTGACAAATTGTTAAAAATGTTACTTGCTGTAGGTTGCAAATGCTCATACCTCATATTAGAACTAGTGTCTTGTACTTGCGCATTTGCTGCCACTGTATAGTTCAATGGTAGTATTGTGCTATTGGTGTAGGGTGCAACTGGAAAATCCCTGAACGGTGGCCACTGTACATTACAAGAGGGATAATAATAATTATTTTCATGGGGTAAATGTTTAGGTCGGTAATGTAAACTAGGTTGCAGATGACCCACAGTACTGTCAGGATTTTCTCTGCTGTAATCAATGCTAGAACTATCGGGAAGGGGATTGTCTGCTGAGGAAGGATTGTCAGTAGTAGGATAGGATAATGATACTGAATTTACATCATACTGGTTTATAGATGTGGAGTTGACACAGTTTGATGATATAAGTTTCCGTTTATTAAAATTACTGACGTTTTGTTGGGTACCCTCAGATGTAGGCAACAATTCAACATCATCATCACTTTCGGCAAATAATGTTTCACACTCCATTTCATCTGAAAATTTGCGATATATTAGTAACTAGTTTTTGAAACTTTAGTAGGTGGCTATTATACAATGTTTTTATTTACCGTTTCTCGCACTATCCATAGCTTCCGATGTATTTACAGTATCAAGAATGGCTGCCAAAGATGAAGGGCCAGGAATATCCCACGCAGAGTTATGCACCTCCTCGGTCCTTTTGTCACTCATGTTTTACTCACAAGATATTGTTCTAAATACTATTATACAAAGGATATCATATTGTTATCGTCAACATAACATAAATTTATTTATTTTATAGAGACAAGTAGGTGCACTGTCAAGGATTCCGCAAAAGATACTTGTTATTAGCTTTTACATATTAATGGCTAACAATAATTTCTTGGTTGTTTTGTTATTATTTTGAAGAATAGTAAGCACCAGGCTATAAAAAATAGAATGCAACATAACGACAAAAAAATTTAGTCCTTTATCTTTGTTACACACCACTTGTTTTTTTTTGGTTTTGACATATGACATGTCATATTATCAAAAGTTCAATACGCAATAACATTACAGATGCACGGATGAGTTAGGAAAAGGTGTTACGGTATAGGTAATATAATATTTTCATAAATATTTAAAAACATGTTAAATAAAACAATTACTTGATAAAAAGAAAGTCTATTTTTATAGTTTTAAAAATTCTTAAAACTTCATTCTATATTTTGTACACCACAGACTATAAAAAATGCACTATGAGCAATTGGCATTTGGCAATCTTATTTATGGTTCAAATAGCAAAGTTGTAGCTAAGTATTTTAAATTTATTGGAATTTGGACTGGAAATCAATTTTAAAATTTAATCATCCATCAATTAAAATGATACTATAAATATTATTAATTATCTGCATTACGTGCTACATTATCATTAACAAACAAGCGAGCATTTATGCCAGTTAAATAATACTTATCAGCACAAAACATTGGGTATCTTTCTTTCACAATCATTTGTTACAAGAACCTTTAAGATAGCAGAAGTACGCTATAAATAATGAATAATTCTTCCATATAGTCAAGTAGTCATTGATTGCTAAATGTGAATTGACGTAAATGTTACAAATAAATACTGAAGAAATAAATATAAGAATTAAAATTAGCTAAGAGATTGAAATCAAAGTTTATAATGTCTCCCTTACCATTCTTCATGCAAGGTGAGGTAGTAAAAGGTTTCGGAAGAGGCTCAAAGGATCTTGGTTGTCCGACAGGTAGTTAAAATTTATTTAAGTTTTTTTTCACTTCATAAAGTTTGGTTTGGCCTGATTTATACCTTATACTTTTTTTATGAATGCTCTTAAATTTCCTAATAATACCTGTATTTAATATAGAAATATAATGTTTTCAATGTATTTAAAATTACTAGAAAAAAAAAATTGAAATATAATATAATAATTTCCTTACAGCAAATTATTCACGGGATCTAAACAAGACCATCCCAAAAGACTTCAAAACTGGAGTCTATTGTGGATGGGCGCAAGTAGACACACAGCCTGTATATAGAATGGTTGTTAATATTGGCTGGTGTCCTTTCTACCAAAATGAAGATATGTCTGTGGTAAGCATTAGATAAGATTTTGTAGTTTTTGACCTCTTTGTGTAACTAATTCTAAATCATGTTAAACCTGGACTTATAATTTAAACAATGTGTTTGAAACATATTTTTAGCATCTATTTTTAATTTTATGACACTTAAACTAAATGAACTTAGATATAGATTTTCTAAAAGCACAATATGTTACAAACAATATACAATATTATGGATTATATTTATTTGTAAATTCCATGTCCACATCATTATCTTCCTATCAAAATGAATGGACTTAAGCTGAGATAATCCTAGCTAGAAACAGCATATGCACTTATCTCAAGATATCAGCTATTATTGATGTTTGAATGCTTATTGTGTTTCAAATATTAGTAGACCACTTAGTCAATGAGTGCCTAAATTTTATTATTTCTGATTTTTTTAAGTGTAGTGTAATGTTCTTTAAATGAAATTTAAAATGGATTTGGAAACAGTCTAGACACTTGAAAACCATGTCATTTTGGAAAGTATTGATCCAACTAATTTAGGTACATCAAAAAGGTATTAAAATATTGAAGACTTATTAAACAGAGACTGTTTAATAACTGTATAAATAATTTCTTTTGAAAGTTATTTTAAGATTATTAAAATGATGTGAAGTTAAGGAAATAAAAGTAATCATTCTTTAATATTGTATTTAAATAGTTTAATTAGGTTATGTTAGAAATGTTACAATAATAATTTACCTTAGATAATATCATCTACACGTGAACATACAATGTTTATTCTCTAGTTTGCTTATCATTTTACAAACAATTATTGAGAAGAACTATTGTCATACTGATGCACTAATGGGGATTTTATATTTTCTTGTTAATTTTTATAAACACTTAGTTAAAACAGGATGGATATTAAGAGTAAAAGTCGAATGTAGGATCTATTTTTCTAGAGGATACGTCCGAAACAAAAGACGATAATATAATAAACACCGAATATAATGCATGGATTTGGGCACCTTATGAAGACAAATATAAGCTCATGCTGGAGCGAGTTCAAAACAAGTTATTGAGATATTTGTACTTCAAACAATATGGGGTTTACCCATTTTACCCACTCATGTATCCTACACTGTTCGTATGGGTATGGTAGGATATAGCGAATTAAGTGTGAGAGAGGATTTTTTTGGGACGTATGTAATAAAAATTCTTCGGGGTAAAGAACATAACGCTGTTGTTTTGGCTGGCTTTACTTCAGTGTTCACCGTTTGGTCTTTCGCGCATCACTTAATGGCCAGGACGCTCATCACGCAAACAATACGAGTGGTGAATATTGTACACCAAAAGGTTGACATTTTAGGGGTATTGGAGTGAAATAGCAAATATTGTTCTTAACGTAATTACTACTAGAAGTAATGACAATAATTATTAAGACTTAGTTTTCATATTTTTCTTATATCGTGATACGTAAGAAAAGAAAAGGGAAATATTCGTCTTTTGTTTTGGACTTATTCCTAATGCATATTTTATACATCAACAAATAAATCACTTTTAGACGAAAATTCAGGTGTTAGTCTAGGCTTTTGCATACTTATTTAAAAATATATTATTTTCTTTGTAAACCAAGAAATTAGATTACTACACATCACACATAAGAAACATTGTCAACGGTTTAAAGCGCGAAATATATTGATATAAGTATATACTAGATGAAAAAAAGAGCACCGGACAAAACATCGCGTCTCAAATTTGCGAAGGACTAAGTTGGAATTGAAGTATAATTTAGTTCATAGGTACACTATAATTCACTGTGTTATTCAAAGACAATAAAGCAGGATGATTAGGACCACTTTATGATAAGAACATGATAGTTCTAATAGGGCACTCATTAAAATTGATGCTTATCTTTCAACAACCTTGTTCATTGATACAATTGTGTACTCAACACTTTTGTCGTGTACAAGAGGACTAGCAATATCAATGAAAAAAATTACAATTTTGGACTTAACCATGCCATTTAAATGTGACCCACTTTCGCCTGTATAGTTAGCATTTCTTAAATTTATTCGTATTGAATGTCCCAGTCATGGGCGGATCCAGTTTTGGCGCCAGAAGAACATTAATTTAATTTTTATAACGATAGATGCAAGTATACTTTTTACTTTTTTTATTAATGTAATGTTTTGGTTGTGTTTTGGATTTTATTAATGTAAGTAGGGTCCTGGGGACCGGATTGGTGGGAACCAGCTCAGGCTTCAGGACTTAGGTAGGCCGTGGGCTTCAGACCCCTCGGATACGCCGGTGGTCCCAGTGTACAAAGCCCCCCGTCAGCCCTGGCTTCGCACGGGTATTAATATATAAACATTTAAGAAGTTTTATATGCACGCTCCCACACGTTTAGATTTTTTTTATAATAACGAACACTTAATGTACCATTTATGCTGTCGCGACTTTTTTTCATTTTTTTTTTATATTTATATACATAACTTATGTAAATCGTAGTACATTATTTCGTTTTATAATCAAGTTTCCGCAGCGCATGCGTCGAAGGGTTTTTAGGATAGCATTTTTTACACTTTCGGTTACGTTACTAAAGTTTCAGCAAGGATCCCTTATATTTTCTAGCTATATACAGAATGTCTCAAGAAGTTAGTGTCAAGCGGTAGTCTCAAGATAGAACACCCCCCCCCCCCCCCCCACAAAAAAAAAAAAAAAAAAAAAAAAAAAAAAAAAAAAAAAAAAAAAAAAAAAAAAAAAAAAAAAAAAAAAAAAAAAAAGGAAAAAAAAAAAAAAAAAAAAAAAAAAAAAAAAAAAAAAAAAAAAAAAACTCCCCCCCCCCCCCAAAAAAGGGGGGGGAAAAAAAAAAAAAAAAAAAAATTTCCCCCCCCCCCCAAAAGGGGAGAAAAAAAAAGGGGGGGAAAAAGGGGAAAAGGGGGGGGGGGGGGATAAAGTTTTTTTGGGTCAAAAACTCAAAATTTTAGAACAAAAATCCATAACTCGAAAACTATAAATAATCGCAGAACATACATGGGGGTGTTTCGGATGCTCCAAGGGGTGTTCTATCTTGGGACTACCGCTTGACACTACTTCTTGGGACAACCTGTATATTCCCAATCAATACGTTACGGTGAATTAGGTGATTTAATCGGCACAGTAGTTTTTGAGTTGATTCATTACAAACTTACACACAAAAATACTAATCTTTCCTCTTTATAATATTATTGTACTTTAATAATTGATGATATCAATGTTTAACGAAGAATTAACTTTTCAGGAAACACACATATTACATGAGTTTGAAAACGATTTCTATGGATCCAACTTGAAGATATGCCTAGTGGAATTTCTACGACCTGAAATGAACTTCACATCGCCAGATGGTCTTATTAAGCAGATCGCAACAGACATCGCAAACGCTCATAACATACTTGACCTTCCCGAACACATGAAATTCAGGGAAAACGATTATTTTTCAAATGACGCGAAATAGCGAAAATTTTAAGATACGTACTTTTAGTAGCTGCTATATATGCTAAACGAATTAATCTGTTAATTAAAAATTAATTATGTTTGATTTGATATTTATTGAATGTTAATATTTATGACGATAATATAATCTCTTGAAATGCAATGAATTCCACATTGTGATATTTTTATAGTTTATTTACATGTTATGATAATAAAGTGTTGTCAAAATTTGAAATTTTTACTAATCACCTTGGATTTATAAAAAAAGATTTTGAAAAAAACTTGAAGGTCGAAGGTGAGAGTTGGAAAACCCAAAATCCTCCGCTAAGGGGAATGGTTAGCAGCTAGTCTGGACGGAATAGAAAATAATAATACATAATAATTATGTGTTCCGTGACGCAAATATTGTAAGTAAGCTCGAGAAATCCTGAGTTCAATAGTTCATTGAACCTGACTCAAAAATGTTTCTACCGTAAGTCGGAGGAAATAGGAATTTATTAAAATATTTTTTACTAGCAAATATGTAAAATTATATAAATGTAATTTACAAGGTCTATTTGCTAGAGACTACTTGTTAGCACAATAAAAATAGTCAAAATTAAGCACCCGTTTTTTAGAGAGCTTGTAAAAAGCTTCGGAAGGTAAACGCTCTTTATAAATAATAAAAATTTAAGTTTTATTAAATTATTAATAGTTGTGAGTTGCTTGAAGAATTGTCAAATAAAAGCATTGTTCAAAATTTGCCAACTATCCTAACTGCCACTTTGCGGGCCTTTTAAACTGGATGAATGACGATTTAGGTCGGGCTACATGGTAGTTGTCTCAAACCCCTTGCCTGGGTGAGCACGTCGCTCTCAGCACAAATTTTGTAGTAGTACCCGTGAAAACAAGGAGGCAGTTGTTTGTCAAGGAAGGGTGCCTTGAATCAAAATGCCATTGAATTTAAAATGGGCATAGCTTTTTATTATAAGAATTCAATATTATAATTTTATGTTAACCATTTATAAAAAATATCCTAACATAGGTAGGTATAAACAAAATCTTATTTAGCTATACTTAGAAGAAATTCATAACAGGTTTGTGATGCGTCTTCAAGTTCTCCACACTGAATACCTATAACTGCTGAATGCCCTAGCTGAGTACACATTCAGAATATCAAGAACTGCCTCACAAAATACCTTTGTGTTTTGGGGAGCCCATAATAATTATAGTTTTAGATATACTGTAGCGTCAGAATGTGTTGAAATAAAAATATCTTAATCTAATTACGATTATTGGATTATACAGTAAAAGACAATTACCCTTTGAAAAAGCCTTTATTTATAATGCTTTAACAAATCAGATGAATAAGAAAAATATTCATACAACTGGAAATAAAATGCAATCTTAAATTAGGGCTCTCTCTCCAGGCGGCTTAATGTTGTTTTCTTCTAAATGAACATCCTAAAAGAAAAAGATTCATATTTAATGTTTGTTGTTAAGCTTTTAAGTACTGAAAATTAAGCACAGAATAAAGAAGTAACAATGTTACTACTATTTTGTGAACATTTTAAATTATGAATTTTTGAAACATTAGAATTATGAAAACTAATATTAGAATTATGTATAGATAGGCAATACTTTAATCAACTGATGGAAAGGTAAAATGTTACAATTTAAGGGACAAAGATCAGACAATAATGTTACTTTAAAAGAAAGATTGTTTAAGTACTGTCTATAGTTTACGAGAGTAGTACACATTTAAATAAAACACTTTAATGGTTTTAGAACGCGATATATTAGTTAAATTAATGCACTAGGCTGCTGCAAAGCATCCGAAACATCGGGCCAAAGTTAAAAATCATTTTTCAAATAAGTTTAACTAATATATCGCGTTTTAAACCGTTAGTGTTTTATTTAAAAGATTGATTAGTTCAATTATAATCACAAAATTGTTGTAATGCCAAAAGTAATAAATAGTAAAATACTAAGTTGAAATTGATCCATATTATAATACAGTGTCAATTAAAACATGGCACTATAATAATAACTAATTTGTGGACTGTTCCATACATTTTGGGGAGATAACACAAATAGAGAAATATAATAATAATAATAATAGATTGTTCAATAGAATAATGAGACATGTTTGAGTTGACAAACATTGTGAAATTACAATATTTCACAACTTATGTGTCATTCCATAATAATACACAATAATGATGAATTATAGATATAAAACACACCACTAAGCAAAAATTGTGGAAATAATAAGTGAAACATTTAAAGGTGCTAAAATTTTAAGTAAAATCTTTGTTGCCAAATATTTAAATACTGTCTATATTTAGCGAGTAGTACACATGTAAAGAAAATATTTACTGGAGAAAAATATATTACCTTCAGTTAGTCTAGCACGGCCTCCTGTGGGTTGGCAGAGGATCGTTGAGCATCCTGCGCATACGACCACCCTTTGTGCATGACTGAATACAGTTGTAATCTTGTAACATCCTGGGCACTTGACATCCATAAAATAAGAGTTCGGGTGTGGCACTAGCCTTTTGAGCTTGTGCTTCCTCCTCTCTGACGCAGGGGATGGGTGCAATAAGTCAATTGCGAGCTGAAAAACAAAATATTTAGGTTAGAATTTTTCACTAAACAGTTTTCCCAAAATCCACTCATATAAAACCGAAATAAACTCAATCGGCCCCTAATCGCAGCGTCTTTGTCACAATCACTAATATTAACTTAAAAATTTTAGCCTTTTTTTGTCCATTATTTGATACGTCAAATAGTGCCATGTGTTTATCTCAGTTTGGAAGAAGTAGCGTCCTTGGTCATATTCAAGCGTAAGGGAAGTAAACGACGCTTTAGTTATTCTTTTCGAATATCACAGAACAACCAATTTTAGTTTAAATACTTCTTCATAATATATAAAAATACACACCGGCATGGTTTCAGCTTCAACGCAAAACCAGAAAAGGGAAACTATATGAGTTGCCAGTATAAAATAACAAATTCCAATACAAAAAATATTGTAAAAGGAGTTATTGCCGTCGAAGTGTGGGGAAATAATGATATTCCGTTAGCATTTTCACACAAAATTATTTTAGGAAGTACTCTGTCTGTATTAGTGTAACATCATTTAGTAAATCATTTACTCTTGGTTACTTCAATACTTCTACATAGATTATTTTTTCTAAATTCGTATTTAAGAATGTATTTATTAAAATTGAAAATCCTATAAAGATTGAAAGAACTTAAACGGTGCCAACTGTTCGAAATTTCAGAACAAGTATTTTATTTTTCTTTCATAATTTTCTTAAAATTCAACCGTTGGTCGTCAAATAGAATTATATTGATTACTGGTCACACTGGGAACAAAATTTCATGAACAATATAGAAAAGGGAATCGACAAAAATCTTGCCAGTTGAAAAACAATATTAAGTTCCAATGTAATATTTTTTGTATCCTTTATTTTACAGTTAGAATAATAAATATTACTTCAACAAAGTTAGTATTTAATTAAGAATCAACATGGTAAAATAAAATTTTACAGACTAAGATAATAATAATGACAATTAACTACAGCTTAAGTTTTAATTTCCTACATCTATATGTCACAGTTTTACCATAGGTGATGTTATGGCAACAAATAACCTAATGTGATCGAATTTCAATACAAAGTGCAGTTATACAAAACGTTAATTTAATTTTTAATTGTTTAAAGAAAATTTGAATTATGGCCGATGAAGAATATGACGGAGATGACGCCGGAGGAGATTATGATGACATGGTAGAAGAAGATAATAACATAGAAGAAACCGAAGAACAGGAGGAAGATGGTTATAATGTACAATGTCTTGCCCCTGGTCAAGCTGGTGGCGGCGTCGAGAAATCTAAAAGGATTACCACCAGATACATGACAAAATATGAACGAGCTAGAGTATTAGGTAAATAAACAGTTTCCAGTCAACAAAGCCAAAAAAAAAATTTACTTATGCACAAAGTGGCTTCAATCCTTAAATAACGTGACCCTTCTTGTTGGTTAAGTTAACTATTTTCTAGTTTTACTGAAATAACCATATTTCTGTACTTAAGCTATGTGTGAAAACCCGTTTCCCCCTCGTCGGGCATGGGGCGACCGCATTTCTGTGTCCGTTTCACTGATCCTTTCTTTAACAAGCTAGTAGTTGAACAGACTTCTGTAACCTGCCTGATCGAAAAAAAAATTTTGTTTCCGTGGAATTCAAACGCAGGATCTCTCGCGCTTTACGCAATGCTAGGCAATATGTTTAACCATTTGGCTACAGAGGCGGTTAAGCTATGCAAGAATTTTATTTTCTACTGTACAGGTTCGGCTACTGTTACATTATGTTTCTTTGAATAACTTAAATTTTAGCCAACATGTTGGTTCAATAAGTTTTCCCTAGAAGTTGTTGTAATTATTTTAATTTTCTATAACTTTATCATTTTTGTAGGTACCAGAGCCCTCCAAATCGCTATGTGTGCTCCTGTTATGGTGGAATTAGAAGGGGAAACAGACCCTCTACAAATAGCAATGAAAGAACTGAAACAACGGAAAATACCAATTGTTATTCGAAGATACCTTCCTGACCATTCCTACGAAGATTGGAGTATAGATGAACTAATTATAATAGATCATTAATTTTCATAAGTAGGATAAGAGTATGTTAAGACTAAGATATAAATGCTAAATATATTGATTTTTATAGATAAGTATACATGATTATTTTTATGAAACCTACCTGAACCCCATTTACAAATAATTAATATGTTTTGGCCTAAATAGTACAAGGTTAGCCTCCTAATAACAAGAAATATATAGTGTAAGAAATTGTTGTGTTGCATTGTATTTAACGTACCTAGGTATATACTTACTCTGTTGGTGCAGGCCAATATAGAAAACAAATTCAGAAGAATTTGAAATCTGTAAGACAAATATTGTTATTTTTTTATTCTCTACTAAGGTAATTACAAGTGACTACTATCAAACATACTTAATTTTAGTTTGGTTTTTAATTTTTATTGATAAAGATTTAACAGTATGAATTCGAATACATTATTAATTTTGTATTTATTCAATTTAATAGTAACACATTGTGTAAAAAAGCCTGTGTAAAGTTTATAAATGTCGCATGTTAGTGTATTTGATATATACCATTGTTTGTTTACCATTTAGGCCAGTCACGAAATATTTAAACTCAAACTCAAACTGAATTTCATTTAATGAAACTTTAATAAGAGTTAAAACAAATAAATATACAATTAAATGTAATGTGAAAGCAAATCAAATTTTTGTTGCTTTTAATTTATCTCATGATTGCTAATCTTAACAATTGATTTACATGCAAATTTTCACCAACAGATGCTTCAGAGAAATGTCTCTAAGCAGAATATAGTATGTTGAAAACTTTGTTGCTATGAAGTGCTCGTAAGGGCGAACGCTGATTAAAGGAATTGAAGTTTGAAATATCAAAGCGGGTGGTACGCATGGTTGCCAAAAGATATTGTAGAGCCGTGGACAATATTAATCACTGGCCGCCGATCATCGGTCACTTCACATTTAAGGTAATCTTATCAATCAAATAAAAAAAAACTAAACGTTACTAATTCTACTGTATGATAAAACGTCTTAAAATAGCTCTACTGTTGTAGAAAAATAGTGATTCTTAAATTGCATTTTAAAATTAAGTACTATTATTAATTACGGATAATTACAAAAGGCAGTAATTATTTGTCCCTATAGTACCAAAAACAAAAAACACGCATAATGTGGGTGATACTAGGATTCTCAAGTCAGAAAGGCCCTCGAACAAAATGCATATAATTCGTGACATATCATGAGCGACTAGTTCTTTCTCTGAGAATAAGCATTGTACATAGTCCTCCAATTGAGTTATTTTGTTTTCCACCACCATGCGGTAGTTTATATTATATGGGGTAGCAAATACTTTGTTAGCAGTTGAGGTGTTTCAAACAGAATCGTACAAACGCTCCATTATATTCTGAAGCTGAAGTGTTTCTATAGGAGATTCGAGCGTGGCCCTGTGACGGTGCGCCCCCACTGCGTTTGGCACGAGTCCCGCAGGCGCCGCGCGGGGAGCTACAGCTTGCTCTTGCGCCAGTACTCCTTCGACCAGCGATGCTGTGCTGTCTCCGTAAATAGAGTACAAGTGCATTCTAACGGCCATTTAAATGCGGTCAATAAAGCGATCTTTCAAATCCCGCGTATTTCGGGCGCGCATTTTGACCGCATTTCAATGGTGATCTAACGCGAGGCGCACCAGTGCACCTCGGGTTAGGTCAAGACAATTCGCTTTCAGTGTAGATGTGTTCCGCGTAGTCGATCGGGTGCGCGTGTGTGAGTGCAAATGACTGAGTAGTCCGGGACCCCGGGCTGAAAATTCACAATGTGGACCGAAAGGTTAAAGTGGAGGTATTTGTTGTGCATGCTGTTCGCCGTGTCGGCGCTCGCGCAGGTTGCGAGAGGTGAGTTAACCGCGACTGGCCTACTACGCGCGAGTGGGACGTTCGCTCTCCGCGCCCGGTCTGCGTCATCAGCGCTATTTTCGGTGTAACTTGCGCTGAAATTATGTAAAAACCGCGTTTGTGCTCTATTTCTGGCGGTAACCTTAAGCGCATAGGCACCGCAAGGTGAACTGAGCCGCTCATTAACATGTAACTGTCCCACTGAATCTATCATTTTAATCGAAGCGGATCGAGGGTAGATCGCCAGACGCCCGACTCGTCATACAGCTACATAAATAGAAATACAGGGATTCGTCGTCAGGCGACGCCATCTTGTGAAAAATGATAGGATCGGAACGACACTATAAAAATGTGACACGGAAATAGGTCATAATTTTATATAACACATGACCTACGCGTTGACAAGTTAAATGTCGATAAACAACGTTGTGTTTATCTACGTAATTAAAACTGAAATTCAATGTTAAATTAAAGGTATTAATTAATGACTGACGAATGTTTTTGTTAGTTTGTCTATAGTACTGCTGTGTGAGACGGTAATATGAATTATCTCTTTATACACATCAATCTAAATACTTTTTACAAAAACACACAAGTAAATTTTACATACATTTTTCGCTAGAGATCAAGTAATTACCGTAATAACTTGCGTGAGAATAACTGTATTAATAAAATACTTAGCGTAAGTATTTAGTATAGGCTAGCTTATATATAGAAAAAAAAAAAGAGATTTGTTTTTTAATATTACAACTTCCGAGAGCAATCAATGAAACCTTTAATTGAAAAGATAGCGCCGCGTTTTATGAATGTACAAAGGTGCCAAAACAGTTTGTTTTTTAACTTCAAAGTAAAATAGATCAAAGACTTTCAATTAAAGCTCTTAGAGAATTTTGTTTATGGCTTTGGTGCTTCCCTCTTAAGTCTAAATATTTAGAAACAACAATTACCTGCAATTACAAATGTTTTAAGACTTTTATACACTACTGGGTTAGGCTGTTATTCATTTATGACATGAGATGACAACCCACGCAAAATTAATTAACGTCTAATTTTATCACTTTTAATGACGTACTAGGAAGACTGGGTCATTGTAAATATGATAGTGATAAAAGTATCACTAATATATAATTAAGTTTAAAATGTGAAGCCTATTTGGGGTTACTTTTGTAACCTTTAATTTACCTTAATTTTGTATTTATGACTGAAAAATACAGACAAGCACGGGGTTGTACTTTATGAAAAGTGAAATACCAGCCATGTAACGTTTAAAGACTTGGAAATCCTAAAACTGAAATCGGAACGCAATTAAACTGCACAACTTTTTAATAGGCGTACGGTAGGTCGTAACGGAATGGAATTTTGACATTCCTGCTCTCATATATTCGGTTGTTTAGTGACGATGACTTTTGGTTGAAGAAACATGTTGGATCGGAATCACGTCCTGTTGATTATTAGTTATAATGCTACCATTAGACCAACGCTCGGCGTCAAAATACTGTTAAAATATTGTGTATTAATGACTGGAATAAAACGTGTTTTTTTATTAAGGATTAGCCCTCCTTTACTCTTAGATGTAATTTTATCAAATTCACAATAAAGTCCTTTGGTAAAAGACGTGTAAGAAACTAACTCTTACGATTAAATGGAAGCAACGTCGCGTCGTAGCGTTGTAGAACTTATAGAAATATCGTAGCATATTCGTAGCTATTAACGTGTTATTAAACTCATTTTATTAAATGACAATGCGACAATCCAAAAATTTACCAATTCAAGGTACATTTATAGTAAAATTTTATAGCATAAACATTATAATATAATGAATATGCTTTTTAAATTTATCATAACGTCATAAATTTTCTAAAATGTTTTCTAGAACAAAGAATGCTTTGATACAATTTATTTACAGTACGTGTACTCCTTACTAAGTTTTTTGTAACAAGTTTTCTTGATATTTAATGTTTAATACCGGTGCTTATTAAATACCTTATTATAGTATTGCAGACTAATATATTAATGGTATACCTTACTATTTCCGAACGGTTATTTGGTCTAACGATAGTAATGCCTGGCTAAACATCAGTGTTTCTAATGATTTTATATTTTTTCTGAAACTTGTTTGAGTTTGTTTGCACAATTTGGATATTAGATAAGCGGAACTTGGGTATAGAAATTCCGTTCCGGTTACAAACCGTCGTCGTCGGTGGTTTGTGATCAGAACGGAATTTCACAGATGAAAAATCCTTGGAGTTTAATCGTGTTTTCGTTTCAGGTAGTAAATTTTCGAATATCGAATGTTTTATTGCTGGAGAATTTCACCTTTTGTCTATCTTAAAAAAATTCGTTTATTGATACACTGTTTTATTTCAGCCGATGACGACGTACCTTTAGAATCACAATGCCGTCCGTACATCGAAAAAGCTCTCAAAGAGTTAGAATCAGGAGATACAGAACCAGGTATTGACAAAGTAATTTGAATTTTTATTATTTCTTAGCATAAACTTAGTCTGTAATAGTTTTTATTTCAAGAGTCAAGAAATATTAACAACTTTTTTCTTGTCATATTAGCGAGTAGTCATCGGTTTAGGGTTGAAAGTCGTAGTTAGGGGTTAAAAATCATTTTCAAATAAGTTTAACTAATATATCGCGTTTTAAACCGTTAAAGTGTTTTATTTAAATTATTAATATAATTGTTGAATTAAGTATGACTAACAGTCATAAACACAGGCTGGGCTCAAATTATATATTTTTTTGTAATTTTGACTATAGTACATAGCTAATATAGTTTTGTGGATTTAAATCGTAAGGTAAATTAGGTACACTAAGCGTATTAATAAGTTGCAGCATTAGCTAGTTTTCTAAAATCTCAACATTTAATATTATAAGTTAAACAAAGTTACGTTGTAGTTGTCTTTCTCTTTTTATACGAAACAAAATTCAACGTATTTATTCTATTTTTAAATATTACGGATCGGACTCCGCTGAAAAACTAGTTCGGAATCATCGTCTGAAACTCGTAATCTAATTGGTGGATTACGTAAAATTAATTACTGACGTCAACCTCAGTTGCCTATATTCAAGAATAACCACGATTTCAACAAGTTTTACACTTGTTGATTCTATTTTAACTGGGACATTGAAAGCGTCATTTCGTTGCGTTGGTCAGTAATAATAGACTGTGCTCAGCTAAGAATTTCAATAATTAGATTTATACTTGTTTAGAAAAACCGGTTAACTTTGACCTAGACTAGACTATATAATGATATGTTCTTTTAATTGATATTTGACAAAGTCAAACGTAAAAATTGCGGATTGCACCGGGCGACTTCGTTGTTATAAGCGATCTCCTCTACATTAATAGGCCAGTAGCAAATAATAAACAATAATAATGTCAACATGTTCTTAATTTCATATACGGAACGAAAGAGAGTTATTATATTATCTTGAGAAATTAAAATATTATCTGTGATATAATAAAAATAATGATTATCTCATCTGCCTCACTAAATATGGTTGATAAGAATTATATAATTATATTGGACGTAATTTAATAATAATAAGTCACGTATATATATGACAACATTTGGCCAAGAACCAATTTTTATTTTTGTCCTAATGTTATGGTGACTGAGCGTGGGTTCATAGGAGGTAAAAGTATGTATATTATATATACATACTAATATCTCCTGCCTAACAATCATCTATTGTATGTTGCAGATACTGCGGAAAATATAGAATCTAGTGAAGTTAGTATAGATAATGAAACAAAAGAAGACATTTCTACTGAAGATGGAGCACCTTTAGCTGACAATGAAGACAGTAAAGAAGAAGTCAGTAGTAAAGAAGAACAAATGAAAGACGCACCATCAGTAGAAATAGCTGATGAGCCGTACGTGTCTCAAGTCTCCTACGAAGACGAACAAGAAAGTCAAACCGACAACGAATCGAAAGAAGATGCTTTAGTAGATGAAAATCAAACTGCTGAAGAAAGTGCAGAACAACAAGAAGGTGACGATGGAGACAGCAAAGAAACAGCATCTGCTGAAGAAAAAGATGAAGAAAGGGGTACTTGAAATTTACTTTTTTACGCTGCATGAATAATTACTATTCCTTTATATATTTTTAAGTTTATTAAAAAAAAAACTATGGTTAGTTGATCGATTAACAAAATGTTATGAAATCTGTTTTAGAAAGTGGTGAGGAAGTAGAAGCAGCAGATAGTAAAGAAGAAAGTAATGAAGAAACTCCAGAAGACGCACTTGAAGATGATGCAAGTAAAGAGGACACAAAAGAAAGTAAAGAAGAAGAGGCGGCTGAAAGCGTTGAACAAACTGGAGCAGAAGGCCAAGAAGATCTAAGTGAAGAAGTCGCAAAAGCATCAGAGGAAGATGAAACGAAAGACGAATCTACTGAAGCATCACAAGAAGAGTCACCAGAGGAGGCAGAAGCCGTAGAAGGGGGAGATAGCAAAGAAGAAGATAAAACGGAGGAGAATACGGAAGAGGAAGATGGATCTCAAGAAAAGGCTGAAACAGGTGAGACTGCAGAAGACAGCAAAGAAGAAGGCGTAGAATCTCGAGAAGAAACTGAGGACAAATCTAAGGAAGATGAAGTAGAACAAGATCAATCGGAAGTGCAAAAAGGAGAGTCTGCTGAAAAGGAGACATCTGCTGAAGAACAATCAGCAGACGAAGAATCGGTAGAACAAGCAGATCAAACAGAGACCGGTGAAGAAGGTGCAAGTGAAGAGGATAGTGAAAAATCTGATGAAGCTGGTTCAGAGGAAGCTGAAGGTGCACCGGAGGAAGAATTGTTAATGGTAAGATTTCATATAGTAGGAGCATTGTTATTATTATTATTCTTTAGAATGTATTCGCTTTAAAAAAAGTATATATTTGCAGACGGGTGAAATTCCTGAAAACTTAAGGAGCCGTGATCATATAGTACAAATATTGAGACTGGACGGAGAAGCAAGTGAATCGGAACTCATAATCGAGAAATCCGCTGACATCGTTCTTCGGGACTTAAAACGACTCTACGAGAATTCTATCAAGCCATTGGAAGGTCTTTACAAGTACCGAGATTTGAGCAATCGGCACTTCGGTGATCCGGAAATATTCTCAAAGCCCTTAGTGTTATTCATGGGGCCATGGAGTGGTGGAAAATCAAGTATTCTGAACTATTTGACTGGACTGGAGTTTACTGAGTGGTCGCTAAGAACTGGTAACAAAACGTTCTCTTATTGATAGCTTTTTTTAATAGGATAGTACCTACACAGTTGCTTGTTTTAATAGGAGCTGAACCATCTCCAGCCTACTTTAACATCCTCATGTACGGTAAAGATCCTGAAGTACTAGACGGAACGCAGCTGGCTGCTGATTGGACATTCTCCGGCCTGCAAAAGTTTGGTCAAGGCTTGGAAGAGCGTTTACGAGGCTTACGGTACCCTAGCAAGTTATTGGAGAAGGTGAGATGCATATTGCAAGCAAATCATTAATTAGAACGCTAACTAAATTTCTCTCTATATAGGTGAACATCGTAGAAATTCCTGGAATTCTTGAAGTGAGGAAGCAGGTATCCCGAGTGTTCCCTTTCAACGATGCCTGCCAATGGTTTATCGATCGTGCTGATATTATATTCCTCGTCTACGATCCTTCTAAGCTTGATGTCGGTCCAGAAACTGAAGCTATCCTTGATCAATTAAAGGGCAGAGAATCGCAGGTAAGTTCTTGTTTAGTAGCCATAAGACAAACAAACAGAAGTTGATTATAAGTTATAACATAACATTATTACATTCATTGGATATATAGAATGCTTTTGCTGTCGACAATAATATATTGCCCAGAACTTCTATTTAAAAATACCTTATTGCATCGACGGTTAAACGGTTCCAAACCAGCACCCAGTGCCAGGAGGACTAAATCCATTGTGTATCCAAAACTTTGAATCGAAATCAAATATGAATTAACTAGTTAGTTTTAATTAATGAGTATTTGTATTATACGAAATAATAAGAATTAAGAAATACTATACATATGTATATTTATTATATATCTTCATTGGGAGAAAAGCCCTAGCTGTATTTATTATTTGTAAATTTAGTGCCGCATTGTCCATAATCCGAGTCAAAACATTAATTGAACAATGAAACGCTACCTCGTATTGTATACATTGAGTAAAACACAAATAGTGCTCCTAGATGATTTATGAACCTCCGAACGTAAGATACCCACTACCTTGTACGCATTACTCATAGAGCAATAAATAAACACCAGTTGCGATCGTTGAAATTCTCGAACTGGATTAAATAAATATGATCTTTTTTACGCGCTTCATTGGATAACTGCGAATTTATATTCTGTGCGCGTGGCATCAATCGTCAAGATATTATTACGCTTTTCAGACATTCCTGAGTGTTTACGGTGGAAATATTATAGCTTTCAGGAAAACGTCATAAATGTATTGGAAACATCGATTAAAATAATAATCTATGATAATAAAATGCTAAATTAACTCTTCTTATAAAACAATAAAACATCTAAAACATACTTATGTATCAAACGGCTTATCGAATAGTTCGACAACACAACCTATTTATAGGTCCGGAGCCTGGGCAATTTCTCGTTCCTCTAGTGAACTCCTTAGTGGCATAAATTCCTTTTTATTCCGAAAGCTATAGATTAGCGTACTACAATTGTAATACTGATGACGGCCGTACACAGATTAATTACTATATTTTTCTATTATCAGACTCGCATCCTACTAAACAAAGCCGACAGCGTGAAGCCAGAAGAACTGATGCGGGTACAGAGTGCATTAATCTGGAACATATCACCTTTGATGAGCTCGCCCCAGCCACCTGTGATGTACACCGTTTCTCTGTGGTCTATGCCCTTCGAGCCCTCCGCGCCAGTTCGTCTGCTGCAGGCCCAAGAACGGGAGCTCTTGCGCGATCTGCGACAGGCCGTAGACAAGCGTATAGAGAACAAGATTGCCAGCGCAAGACGTTTTGCGGTATGTATCTGTTATAACGGTAAACTGTGCTAATTTTTTTTTTAAATAAAAAAACGTGGCTGTCTTGAAACATCAACGTCATTGATGCAAGATAAATATTTTAAGAAAGATAAAAAAGTCTACTTCATGTGGGGTTTTTCAGTACTTTTTCACACACCCATTTACTGCACTTGAGAAAGACAGTTTTTTATTGACTTACGTCATTTTCCTATAAGATTTTGATATCAAACTGAAAGTACATATTTTTAGAAAGTTACGTTATCTGTAGTTTGACACTTATTAAAAAAAAGAATTTGCCTAAGGTTAATAGCACTATTTACAAATATATTTTCAGGTACGTGTAAGGAATCATGCTAAAATGGTCGATTGTTACCTAACGACCTATTACAACCACAAGACAATATTCGGCAATAGGAAAGTAATCGCGGACGCCATCATTGAAAATCCCCAGAACTACCACATCTACGAGGGTCTCAGTACACTTACCAATATTTCTAGGTGTGTATACTAATCATTTTAAATATTAATTTTAACTTTCCTACATCCTCTATCTAGATAATAATTAAAATAAAAACTATCATACTACGCTGTAAAACACATCATTCGCAAAAACAAACTTCTGAAATGCACGAGTGGATTCATACAAATTTTATAAGTACGTATAAGATAAATTAAGAGAACGAATAAATACAAAGAAACATTCGTTCTCTTTAGTTCACTTAGTTGAAGACAAGCTACAAACTCTCATAACTAAGTAAATGCCCAGCGAAAACATAAAAAAGTAGGAATTGCTGCACGTGTAATCAAATGGTCGCTATTAATATATTATATCGTCTATGACACCAATAAAAAATATTTTATTTCTGTGGCAGGTATGATCTTCCCGACCCCGAAACATACAGAGACTTCTTCAGGCTGAACCCGCTCTACGAGTTCCAACAGCTCTCGGCTACTTGCACTTACTTCCGAGGCTGCCCCATCACCAAGCTAGACGTAGCCATCGCGTACGAATTCCCCGAACTCGTGGGGAAATACAAGAAAATGGTGGAAACCGCCACCCCCCAGGGCATGCCCAAGAGTTGAAACCCCGCGTAACACAAACCCGCTTCTTTTATTAGCGAATTGGATGACTTTTGGGCACATTTTGCATTTCTTCTACTAATCGGGCGATATAGTTTTGTTTTGAAATCGCATTTTGTTTTGTATCCAATCGTTTATATTTATTTGCTTAGATACTCGCTTATTCAAACCCTCAAAGTGAATGTGACGTGAATTAAGGTTTACCTATTAATTTCGTAGTTACCTTGTAGAGAAGACACTACCGATTTTTTTTAATTAACACTTTCTATGCTGTGGCGGAACGTATTTTTTAATAATCTAGTCATTATGTTAATGTTTGTTAGTGAAATATATTTATTTATTTGATGAAATAGCGCACTGTGGTTAATGTCCAGGTTGTGTAAATTATAGTGCGGTCTCTACCCATGTCTTTGTTAGAATAAGACTTGATTATTAAGTATTAAAATATATAAATTAATAAGTGGTTTTATTGCGATTAGAATGATATTGTCCATTAAATGAGTGTTTATCTACTTCCTATGTTTGCATATCGAAATATATTCAACGAATATGTTTAAAATAGTCCTAATACGTGCAAACATGCAGAACGTGCAGAACATGCAAAGCATAATATGCAATGCATATTATGCTTTGCATGTTCTCCTTGTCGGTATACATAAAAAAATATTTATTGATTTTTTTTTTATTTGTGGCAAGAAGAATTAACTATTTGTAATTACAGTATGAATATTTTTTTTTAAAGCTTGTTGATTTGGTATTATTATCTATATCCATACAACTAATTATTATTATTTTATTGGGCATGGCTTAGACCACATGATTTTAATGATGATGTGCTTTTAATTATAATCTGTGTCAAATGACTGTCAAGTGGCAAGTGACAGTAAACTGTCATACTCGGAAACAATAACGATAAGGTTTTTATTTTCATTATTGCGAATTATTTCAATATTACATTAAACAATTTGTTATTTCATACGTGATGCACACGGATCTATCACCGCATTTACATACGGACGAGTGTAATATTTTTATTAGAAAATTGCAAGATTGCCATGTCGAGGTTAGACTTATTTTGTTTTTCTGCTCTTTCTAATATTTTCATATGGACAATAATTAAAACAAATGTTCCGCTGATCTTGATTTTCTTAGAAATATTCTATTTGTGAAATTTGGGGAGCATATTTATGCTTTCTCTCCGACGTATTATGTAATTCTCTAATGATAACATATCTTTTCAGCACACCTTCTTGAAATTTGTTGGTTATTGCAATGACTACGACCGGGATATGAGAAGGTGTTTAAAAGCTGAACGCTTACGGCGCCAACAACGAAACTACGAGGAATCAATAAAGAAACACAAAGAAATTCATGCTAGGATACTAGCTTCACAACAAAGAGAAGCAGTTTAGTATTCTTTTAAGATGGTCTGCGATATTTTGAATTCTATAGAGTTAGATAAAATTGTGAACTATAAGTCTTTCACTGACAGATATTTCACAAAGCGTTACATAGTTAACTCTAACGGTATTAAGAATAATGATATTATGTTGATGTTTCATTCAAACAGAATAACGTTACTATGTCTTGCACCGAGTCATTTCTTTTTTAAGAATACACAAAATTACAAGTTGAATTTTTCTGTAGGCAACATTGATAGATTGAGCAATACAGTGAAAGGGAAAAGTAAGAAGGGTGGTCAAATGCTGAACCCTAAATCTGTTATCTGCAAAGTTGAATACGAAGATGGTACAAGTTTTGATGTCCCTTGCTGTATGAAAAGTACCCTTATTGAAGTGAATGAGCAGCTTGTAAAAAAACCAGAGCTCCTAAAAGACAAGCCTGACGCTGACGGATTTATAGCAATAATGCTATCCAGTATTGCCATATCTGATGCAACAAAGAATGAACTTTTGACATATGAAGATTATATTAAAGCTGTTAATGACGGAAATTAGATAATAAACTAATTTAGTTTTGTATTTATTGTTTCATTTCCATTATTAAAGAAATCTTGTAACAAAAATAATATAAATATTATTCATGACCTTGAAAAACTATTTATCTTTATAAAAATTTCCTGTTCAACCAATTTATACGCAAAAACCTGTTTATTCAAATGAATAAAAGCTGACCCAGACGGTACCTTTGCATTACGAAATCAACAAGTACGAATCAAAATACTTTCTTATCTTACTATTAGCTGACCCCACATAATGAGCTAACAGATAAGGTCGGTTCGAGACAATACTTTGTACAGTGTAATACAACAATTAAGTCGATATGGGCGTTATAAACATCCCCAGACGGGTTCTAATCTCTAAAAAAGTTTTGCTGGCTGCGATACAAGCGCGCAAATTTAGTGATGCCGGTTCTGCGAAAAAAACCGCCCTGTACGGTCTACACGAAAAACATGGTGGCAAGTTGGTGGATTTCGCCGGTTTCCTTCTGCCCGTACAGTATTCAGACATGAGCGTATCGTCATCACATCTCTTCACAAGAAACAGTGCATCCATTTTTGACGTATCGCATATGCTGCAGACTAATGTTCACGGGAAAGACTGCATCTCCTGGTTCGAATCCATTTGCCCCGTCGACTTGAGAGGAATGCCTGATGGTTCCAGCTCATTAACAGTATTTTTGAATGACAAAGGTGGTATTATCGACGATTTAATTGTCACAAGGGTTAAAGAAAACCAGCTATACATAGTCTCAAATGCGGGTAGACTTGAAGTGGACCGCCAGCACATGCTAGAAACGTCCGAACTGTACCGAAAAAATAACAAAGATGTAACAGTTGACTTCTGGGATGTGACGCAGCGGGGTCTTATTGCAGTCCAAGGGCCTAAAGCCGTTAGAAATTTGCAGAATTTGACCGACGTTCCGTTAGAAGATCTGGTCTTCATGACGAGTCGAGTCGGGTCTGTAGCTGGAGTAGAGTGTAGAATAACACGATGTGGATATACTGGTGAGGACGGAGTCGAAATATCAATACCAGCGGACAAAACTACAGCAGTAACAGAAGCTCTTTTACAATCCGGGGAGGTGAAACTAGCTGGCCTTGGCGCAAGAGATTCCCTACGATTAGAAGCGGGACTGTGTTTATATGGAAACGATATTGATGAACGGGTTACACCGGTCGAAGCAAATTTAACCTGGTTGATTGCTAAGAGACGTCGCGGTGAAGCTAATTTCCCGGGAGCTGATATCATTCTGCGACAGATCAAGGAAGGGGTTTCCAAAAGAAGAGTGGGGATAAGAATGGAATCTGGTGCACCAGCGAGAAAAGGCGCAATACTAAAGAACAAAGATGGCGAAATCATAGGCAACGTGACGAGTGGATGCCCAAGCCCATCATTGGGCGGGAACGTAGCTATGGGTTATGTTCGCGAACAGTACAAAAAGGCTGCTACTGAATTGATCGTTAATATAAGGAACAAAGACGCATTCTGCACTGTAGCTAAAATGCCATTCGTCCCTTCCAAATACTATATTAAGAAATAAAATTGCGATAATTCAAATAAATGTTTTATTTGCAGCCTATACTATAGAATAGAACAACGAATCGAACAGAATTAAAATCTTAAAAGGAATAAGACACTACTATACAACAATTGAGCGATAACAAATAAATTCGAAAGTTAATTAAATTAAATCTAACATTTCTTAAGTCGAACAAAACTAACTATTTATAATTAAAAAATCGGAATTTGAGGAATGTCATCATATTCACGTATATAAAAATGTAAAATTGTGTACCATTTTATCACAGGAACGTCGTTTCTTAGTCGTTAATGTCGAATTTTTAACACCTTAACTGTGCATATAAATGCAAAATCCAAAACTAGAATGGCTTTTTAAATTTGTGTTTACTAACATTTTAATATTTTTTACATGTTATTGCCTATGATGGCATTATATAAATTAAAAATCGACCAACAAAGCAACAGCACGGACGCTGTGGACCACGGTTCAAGTCCTGCCCCGGTCGGAAATTTTTTTTCAATGTTAAATCGTTTTTTAATTTAGTAACACTTCCATGTTCTTAATACCAAAACCATAACACATTTTATTAAGTACAATTTAATACTTTTCACTTTTTTGTTTTCCTTTTTCTTTTTACAGTAATACATGTTGGAGATTTTATAGAATTATAATCTACATTAATACAATAAATGTACAGACAATGCCACTATTAAATGTATAGAGAGATCATCTTAATTATATAGCAGTCTATTTTGTACTTTGTGGAATTTTCTGATAAAACTAAGCTTCGAAATTGCTGTGTATGTGACAATGGAACATTCAGTCATGATTATTAAATATTAAAATTATTTGTCATCTTATTTTAATTTTATAGCACCAAGTAACAAGTTAAACATATTTAATAACTGTACTTGATCTAAACACTTTACAAAAAATTCTTCAGGACCATAGATTATATCAATGTACATAGCGGAATGTCAAAATTAAATATTCACTTGAAATTTTGCAAAAAGCTTGCAACATTATAAATTACACCTGTTTAAATTTCAAGAGAGCTAAAATAAATTTAAAAGTGATTTATTTAAAAGAATGTTGAGAAATGAAATTTCTTGATTATAAAGTTGGAATAGACATATTTTTGTGTCTATTTCACTGCTATGTCAATAACAAATTAACAATTGTTTCACCAAAATTCGAAACTAAAACCTCTCCTGCTAACAGCACAAAAATAAATAAAATGTGTGATCAAGTAATAAAATGTCACTGCTTGTTAATTTCGGGGGAATCCTTGAAGTCGGAGTGGGTGAGACGAGCGAAATCTTCGTTCAGCTTATTAATTTTGTCTGTGCACTGAAAATAAACATAATTAGATTACATCACAAAATTAAGTAAATTAAAAATAATTATTAAAGCATATTAATTTTATTATTAATACCAAAATCAATAAAAAAGTCATAATACTAGAGCTTTTGGTACTCTGTGTAAACGAAAATAATAGTACTAAAAATAAATAATCTGATATTATTAACGCTACACTAGAAAAAAACATTTTTTTTCGCGATAAAAACAGTATTTTTTATAAAAAAGAAAAGAGATTTAAATAAAACACTTTAACGGTTTAAAACGCGGTATATTAGTTAAAAGTTAAAATTAGCTGTTGCAAAGCATCCGAAACTCGGGCCGAAGTTAAAAATCATTTTCAAATAAGTTTAACTAATATATCGCGTTTTAAACCGTTAAAGTGTTTTTTTTAAATGTGTACTACTCGCGTAAACTATATACAGTATTTAAGAAAAGAGATTCTTAGAATCCTCTGATCTTTCTAAATCTAAGGAGCTCTCAACTTTAGTAGCTGCTTAAAAATATCACGTATTGATGAATCTAGTAAAAATATTTTAGTGTGATAGATGTCGCTTACGTCATATTGCTCGTAATGCGCCTGCGCTTGAGTCTGGGCCTTTTCCTCGTCGAGCTCGGTCTGCGCACGCAAGATTACCAAATAATTAATCTGCTTCTGCATTTTCACGAATATCTTCCTGTACTCGTCCTGTATCCTGCTTATTTCTTTGTTTATATGTTCATCCTTCTTCGAAATATAATTCTGAGAACACCAGATTATGAACATTGTTATTTATAATTTAATTTTACAATTCAGTGTACAGAAACCAAAGTATGCCCACCATAAGCCAGGGAGATTTTCTTTAAATATAATAATTTATTATCTGACAAAGTACTAAGCTATAAAAGATATGCAATAAACGAGTGTATGGTATAACTAAATATAAAATGTTATGCATCTACATTAAGCATAATTAACTTCTCATAATGATGACTACGGGTATATGTATGTTGTCCAGGTCAAAAAATTATATCACACATTGTCCTATATACAATGAGCAATTAAAGATGAATTTTACGTCTTTCTTGGCCTAATTAGAGAAGGCAGCAAATCTCCCCTGATGATAATCAGAGTAATTTAGCCAAATTACCATCGTATTTTTTTCTAATTGTGTAATCCTGTTTTGGCTAATGTTTAGTGTTTAGTTTAACCTATACTATATACTGTAGGAATACCAAATAAACAATAAATATATAAATAAAAAAAAACATACCTTATAAGTAAACACAGTTTTCTTAGCGTTCTTATACTTGTCCAATACGACTTGATGTTCGCTCTGCAATTTGTTATATTTCTGCTCCAACTGCGCGCACTGAGACTGCAACTCTACAAGTTTCGTTCTTAAACTCTGACACTCCTTCACGCATGAACTACTCTTTTGTTTCATGTCTTCTCTTTCTTTCTTTAATATATCTTCCAAAGAACCTGAAAAGGACAGAAGACATGCAAATTAGGTTTAATAGCTTAGATTTTGTTAAGTATTCAAAAAATTCAAATTTTTTTTGAAAAATTGTAAACAAGAAAACAATTAGCATTTTATAGGAGCTTTAAGTTTTATACCAAGGCATACTAGAACACATGAATTTAATTAATAATTGAAAGAAAATACTGTCGTCCGTCTAGGTTCTGCGAATTACAAGTAAATGAAACAAACCCCTATGACCACGGCTGCAAAGGATACGAAACGTCGGGCCGTAGTTACAATAAATTACAAGTTGAAATACTTTACTTTATAACATGCGTTTTAAAATTCTAAGTGTCAAATTTGAATGAAAAAAATGACTAGTACAATAGCCGGAGCGTTGTGGTTGCCGGTTGAAGTTCTGACTGTGTCGTATTTTTTTTATCAATTTTTAATCGATTTTTTTTGAAAGAAGTTATCAAAGAAATGGTTTCCCTTACCCAATCTGGACAATCTCTCCTTATACCTCTCCGCCTTGTGCCTCCAATCGATGACGTCATCCTTCATCCTTTGACACTCGTTCCTCATCTCATTGTGTTCCCTTATCATCACCGATATCTCGTTCTCCTTAGCTTCCAGTATCTTCGTGACCTTCCCCCGCTCGCACACGATGAATTCCTTCAGGGTGTCCACCTCTTTCGCCTTCCTCTCCAGCAAATCCTTCAATTTGGTGATCGTCGTCAGTTGTTCGTTCTCCATCTCCTTTATCCGCCTCGCGCAGTTCATTTCGACCGTTTTCATTTCTAGCGTAAACTTCTCGGCTATTTGATCGCGTATCGCTTTTTCTTTCATCAGGAGTGCCGTCTGAAATTTGATTACTCAATTAGACTAGATAAATGATGATATTCTCATAGGTGTAGGAATGTACGGCTAATAATCGATGGGTCGTGGGTTCGGTCCAACATTTTTCGAATCAATTTTTAATTTTTCTGAAATACTTCGTCAGGGCCACGAAGTACCATCCACAAATAAAAAAGCCGTGTTAATCGCGTTTCGGTTTCATTGTGGATTTCTTAAATACAAAGCCAAAATAGGTCGACAGTGCACCTTGTCTAAATATTATATGACTGGGGTATGTCACCTACATTAATGTATGTTTGTGTTGTTTTTCTGTTCTCCTATTTCATTTAAACGAATGATTTGTGTAAATAAAAATGAAATCACGTTTCCCCTCTTAGAGCATGGGACGAGCACATATTACACTTTACAATTAGAAGGTCTCTGACGTGAAGAAATAACCAGTGTGGTTATTTCTTAAGTTTAAACATGTATCATTTGGTGCTGTAAGCTGCCTTACCTTAGCAGCCATACTGTCTTCGGTGTGCACGACTTCTTCAGTACTGGAATCGCTCTTCAACTCTTCGTTATTATCGGTATTCGTTGAAACACTTCGCTGGTCTTGGATCTTCTTGAATCGCTCCATTATGTAGTTCTGGAAGAATTCGGCTTTGCCCTTCAATTCTTTCATGAGCGCTTCGTTGCTTTCGTGAGCAGCTGAAAATTAACGGTTTTATGAGGCATTTTTAGTAAGTTTATTGGTATAATAAAAAATCTAGCTAAGGAAATTAAAAATCAATTTAGATTGGAAAAAAAATTACGATACGGGCGTGACACGAACCGGTATTTACAGGATTCCGTGCTGTTGCTTTAACCAATTTATTAAATATTAAATTCTCAAAAAAAAAGTATGTTTAATATACTCGCCTTAACTACAGCGATACTTAAGTACTGTCTGTAGTTTACGCGAGTGTTACACATTTAAATAAAACACTTTTAACACGCGACATATATTGGTTAAATGTATTACAAATTATTCCCGCCTCCCTGTGACCACGGCTGCTGCAAAGCATCCGAAGTTAAAATAATTTGTAAATAGGTTCAACTAATATATTTCACTTGTTAGAACGTCAAAAGTTTTATTTAAATACAATAATACTTACAGATGTTGAAAAAATGACTCACCAAGTTTAACATTACACTTATTGAGTTGTTCTTCGAGACACTTGATGTGCTTGAGTTGAGTTTCACATTGGAGACAACCTTCGATCTCTTTCCTCATTGCGCACTTTTCATCTGAAATGGTAAATGTGCTTTTAATATATTTTTTAGGTACCTTGTCCTATTTTGTGGTTACCCGTCTTCGCAGTGCATGCAACGGAAACTATAATATTAATAATTTTCCCAGCTTTTTCCACTTTTTTAAGAACGGTTACCATGCTATATAGGTATGTGGTTTTCTAAAGCCCAGGAATATACAAGATGTTTTGGCTTTGGATATTCGGAAATGTACAGACTGAATACGAAACGCGGTTTAACTTCGGGGCTTTTTCATCTATTAAAGGTAGTTCGCGACCCGGACGTATTTCGATATCCCCACCGTCGTCACCATCTAACACAAAACCCGTTGATTTCTAACCATACATTGCTACCATTACACCAACTTGCCCGTCAAAATACTATGTAACGTCACAAATTTTTTTCCATTTAAAACGCCTCACAGAAAACTCACCTTCCAAGTATTTATTTAACTTATCAGTAAACTCCTTCTGTTTGTCCGTAAACTCCTTCTGCAGCTCTGATATTCTCTTATTAGCTCTGTCTATCTCTTCTTTAGCGTTTTTCAAATCCGCCGCTAACTTTTCACCTTGACTCTTCTCCTTCTCTATTTTCTCTATGTACCCTCGCTCTTGTGTTTTGAACTCGTCTCTTTCTCTTTGCATATTCGTGTGCACTTCCTTCAATTCTCTGGTAACTGAATCTCGAGCACTACACACCTGAAAGATAAACATATACAGCAAGGGCGAAGTTTCAAATGTGCGATATAATACTATTTAAAAAGACATTTACCGACTTATCATTGTTATATGCTAAACGATGGCCGTGAAAGCCTTACACAATTTATTTATATACAATCTTGTTCTAACAGTACAATATTACTATACTCCGGGTAAAACTTCTTACCAAAAAATCATTATACTCAAACTGTCTTAAGTTTGTATATGGCATAAAGTCCTGGCACTTTATAATTAGAAGGAACGCAGATCGTTAGGATTAGGACACCTACTGTCTTAGAAATAGGAAAGAATATATTACACTACCCTCCTTGCACTTACCTCCTTGTACCGGAGACTGTCTTTCAAAGGAAACGAAAAAATCTGCTTTCCCTACCAGGACTTTATGAGATAGAAGGAATGCAGAATTTATAATGATTAAGGATATCTCCTAAGCTCTCAATACTGATCTCTTCTAATACCAAGAGTCTGTGTGAAATAGAAAAGATTGCAGTATTCAATTGGACTATTGTTTAATCTCTTGGTCACTGCTTACCTCCTAGTACCTCAGACTGTCTTTCAAAGGCATCGAAATATCAGCTGTTCCCTACCAGGACTTTATGAGATATAAGGAATACAAAATTCATACAGATTATGGATCTCCTAAGCATTCAATATTATCTACCTTCAAGTACAGTGTCTTCAATTCTCCGTTGTCCTTAAGTGTGTCTTTCATTTGAGCGCTGTACTTTTCCAATTCTCTTAGTAAATCTGCATTCGCTTCTTGCACCAGCGATGCCCGGCTGCCTCGCTCGTTTTTTACCTTCTCGTGTTCCATCTCTAGTTCAGTGTACTTTAATTCGAGCTGAAATTTTATTTGCGTGTTTAATGCACACCGCAAATATACCGCATACATTTCATAATTTTGTCAAATTATTATTGAACTAAAAATCGATTTTAGATTGAAAAAAAAAATTACGACATAGGCAGAAATTGAACCAGTATCCACAGATTTCCAATCTGTTGCTCTAACCAACTGAGCCACCGTGTCCTAAATATCATCGTCGATTTTTTTTAATTCTTTGATACTTGCTCCTTAACTCTTGCGCATTAAGGTTCACTTTTTTTCAATCTAAGATCGATTCTTAATTATTATAGTGCCATTATGTGCAAGAACATGTGAAAAATATTAAAGTTTTCAAAAATTAAATTTATTGTATATCTTAACAACAAATAAAGAAGTGACTTTCTTTTACTCTGTTGTCTTTTTATGACAATCTTATATTATAGATATAATATAAGATTGTCATAAAAATTGTCAAGATTTAGACAACAATGATTCTTTGAACACTCACATTTTTTATTTCACTCCTAAGATCTTCCGTCTCTTTCCTAAGCATTTCGTTCTGTTGCCTATATGTATCGACTAGTTCGCTATCAGAATGGGTCCCAAGCAGTTCCAGTTTATTCTGTAGAACTGCTATACGCGAATTCAACTGCATTTCAATGCCTTTCTGCTCTTCCAACTTGGATCTCAGTTCAGACTCTTGTTTTCTATGCTGTTCTAGACGTTTTCCCCTGAAAAAACATTTTTGCTAGATAGAAAAACTAAAAATGTTATGTGTATGGCTATAGTATAAAATAATAATTATTCATGTTTTAAAGGACATGTGTAAAAAGAAAAAGATAAAAACCCATACTTGATATTGATTTCCTCTTGAAGTTGCCCTACTTTTTGAATCTGCTGCTTGTAGCGGCTCAATATTTCCTTTAGAGTTGCCAGTTTTCCTGGAGAAGTGGCCTCACCTGAGATGCAAAATATCTATATTTCAATATCTTAGTATTTACTTTGTACTTTTTAATGAAATGATTATAAAACCCGAATAGGATTTGAATTTTAATCATAAAAATTAAACTCAACTTTATTAGTGTTCAGAAATAATTGGACTGAGTGATGAAAAACTGCATTTTCAAGACGAAATTTTATTTTAGATACAACAGTGGTGGAAAATTATAATAACACTAGTATAAATAACATCTTTATTATTATTTTTATAGTAAAATCTAAAATAAAAGCTTTGTTTAATATCCTACCGATAGTATAGCTGTTATCTGGCAGAGCGTCGTGCAGGATTTGATTGAGGGTCGACCTCCAGTTCTCATATTCTCGCTGACTGGATGATAACTTGTTACGACACAGCACTAATTCTTGTGTTGTCCTTTCTAATTTGGACTAAAAAAATCGATATATTAGATTAACACTCGCTCGCGAAAACTGTTTTACTGAACAAATATGTTTAATTTTAAAGTAAATATTATCTGGGACCCATGACTTCATAAATTTACAACAGTGTATGGAACAACTATTATTAGAACAATTCTAATCTAATAATAACCTTTTATATTACAAGTACTAAGTTTATTTATTTTCAAACAATTAAATATACTTAATTATATTAATTAAAGAGTTAAGAGCATACATTATGTGAAATAGCATAATAGTTAGGACCTTTTGAACAATTGTATTGAATTCAATCACAGAAGAATTAAAACTATAACGGTGTAAAAACTGAATGTACTTGAATTGTATACTTTTCCTTGATAAGAGGGTTTACTACTAAATAGAATATATTAAGAATTTGTATATTACCCCAAGCTCTTTCACTTGTTCCCTAGATGTATTTCTTTCACTGGTCAGCTGATTAACCTTCTCTTTGAGCCGAGCTGTCTCACCACTGACAAGTCTGCTCTGAGCTGCCTCCAGCTCGCTGGCCAACCGATTAATAGTAGCACCCTTCTCTATAAGAATCTCTTCTTTTTCTCTATCTCGCTCCATACACCTCTTCTCTAGGTGTTGTATCTCTCTGTCCTGTAAAAATGACGTTCATGTCTGATTTATATTTCATGACAAAGAAAACCTATATACATACACAAACCACAATTAAACAACAACACATAAACAAACTGATTAACGTATATGTATATTAATTATCAGAATAAGTACCTTTTCGTCCAACCTGCTTTTTGCTTTAAACAAATCGTTTTGTAAGCGGTCCATTTCCTCTCTATGTCTGTAACATAATCAATCATTATATTATTTATGAGTAAAATACTTTTTGAGAATACATATAAAATAAGCAGTAACCTCCATTGTTCAATAGTTGCTTTTTGCGCTAAGGTTCGTGTCCCGGGAAGCAAGATATTTTGTTTTGGATAGGATAGAGAAAAGAGACCAATATTTAAAGGTGATAAGGTAAATAAATTACCTGTCTTGTTGTTCTCTGAACAATGCGTCAGTATCATGTGTATGAGCCACCTGGAAGCAATGAAGAAAAAAAATGTATTTTTAATTTAAAAAAAATAGTACATTTTATTTATTTATGCAATAAGGGTCTATTTATCTTTTGATTTAGTTGCTCAATTACCTGCATCGTATGTAATCTCTGTTGTACATCCTGCAAGCTCATACTAGCGGATCTTAACTCAAGTCGAAGTTGCTCCTTATCTTGTTCACTCTCGATCAATTTCTGTGTCAATGAGCCTAACTGCTGTTCTAGCTCTATCGTTTTATGCTTATTTGACGCTGAAAGTAGAGAAAATAATGATAATGAATAAGAATGATTCCTTTTTAAATGACCAAAAAGAATAGTTGTGGGTAACAGCTTAAAATTTCTAGTGGACAGCTTTGCTAAAACAAATTTTGTTGCTCAAAATAATAACTATTCAAGACGGACAAAGTGGCTAAAACAGCTAGTTAATAATGCTGACATACCAAGTAAACTATGCGCCTCTTGCAGCGAGAACTCTGCTTTGTCTTTGTCATGTAGGGCTGCTTCTAAACGGGCTCGTAAACTGTCAATTTCAATATCAAGATTTTTCATTTGTGCTGCATATTGTTCTAATTCTTTAACGCGGCTCTGAAAATTAAAAACAAAATTGTATAATGAAACTAATATAGGCGGGTTCTTACACTCACGGAAAACAGGGTTTGCATAAATATGGGTTCAAAAGGGACTTACTTCATACAACACTTTAAGTTTTTCATAATTCATATTATACTCCTGGCCAGCACCATAATTATTTAAGCCATTTAAGTGTTCTGGAAAAATATCATTGTCAGAATTAATCCTGGTTGTTAAAGTAACTACAAAATACTTGTTCTGGAGTACAAAATTGTTTAATTCCCTAGAAATCATGACAGTGTTTTGATAGGACAGGGTAGACCGTCCATCTCCTTGCCTGTAGGTTAAACCTATGTTGCTCATAGCTTTTATCAACAGGCACGAATCTATCTTATCTAATGACACAAAACCGCATGTAATTTTGCACGGGTACAAGATTTTTAACTCAAGACTTCTTGTTTGATTGTTTTTGATGTATTTTTGTTATTTCTTACGTAAAAAAATATTTATTATCATTACCATAGATGACAGCAAGTGAGTTTTATTTAAATGTGTACTACTCACTTAAACTATAGATAGTATTTAAGTAGCTTATTCAAGTTGCATCAAATATTTGGGAATAAAATAAACTTACCCCTACTTTCGTGAGGATAGTAATGGTTTTGAGCATCGCCAGCACCATATGGACTATACTGAAGTTTAACAGGCTCTTCCTGATGCCTAATATGTTGAAGATGGCTTTTTGGAGTATCACAATACATTTTTTGTGAATTTGACATTGGCAAGACATCTTTGAGGTGATTTATTGATTCACTGTATGTAGGTAGGCCTGTTCTCGCATTAGATTTACCTGAAAGTTTAAAAACAAGTTACTAATGCATTTTTAAAAGAATTTAATGGGATTATTAAAATTTACCAACTTACTGTTTCTGTGAGTCTGATCTAATGTACAGTTTCCGCTACTGTCCACTGAACTCGCTTCATCGTCGTCTATCAGGTCGTCAAAACCGTTCACTAGCTTATGTTTTAACTAAAAACATAAATTTCATACTGTAGACAGAGAAAGTTTATTTGTATTGAGAATAACAAAATGCAACTTACCTCTTCTGCTCGTCGTTTCTGATCCTCAATTTCTTCTTGTTCTTCTAATCTATCTTGAGCACTATTATTAATATGAATACTCGCTGTACCTTGAAATAAACTCATTCCTGGTCCCTCCATAGTTTATTTCTTTCATAAACTTTCTAATTAAGTACCTTCATAATTAACATTTAAGCCACAAAAAATTGTGTTGTTACTTAATACACCTTTACATAATAAAATATAACATTGTGGTTAAATAAGTCTAAGCACTCAGTTTTTAAGTTTTATTAAGGTTTACTAATTGAAAACATTACATTGGGAGAATTATAAAGCAAAAACAACGCCGCGAATTACAAAGCATAGATGATAGACACCCAAAATACAGATTATACAAGCAAAGCTAACGTCAAATAATAAGTATAAACAATGGCACAGATAGAGCCTCCGTAATGCAACGTGAATAATATTGAAATAATATTAATATTTAAACAGGCAAATAAACATTTTTGTCAGCCAGATTCTACATAATCTAGTGGCTACTCTACTCTCTTTCATCAATATTTGTAAAATGTATATTAGATTATGGAGATAAACCACCTAAAATTTTTATTTGTTTATTTCTTAGGTAGTCGATAGTAGTTTTTGGTTGTAACAGACCATTACCTCTTTTTGGAAGACATACACATTAACGATAATATAGTATGATTATTACCATTGATAGAACATTTTTTGTATGTATGTATGTCCATACGGAGATAATACATTAAAAGCTTTAAAAAAGTATAAGCCGTTTCAGTGGTAGCCAGTTTGATAGTAGATCAATCTACCCGACACATAATTTGGCAGTTGTAAGATAAGATAACAGAATGAATTGTTATTGTTCATCTTACGTGCGCTAGTGAATGATTCCGCTGTATGATATTGCGATACAAGGTTACTCAGTTGCGTGAAATGTTAAGCACATAATCGTTTAATGTTGTTTTTGATTAGTTACCTATTCATCCTCTTCCTTATACATAAATAATTATTAAAATAACGTAACCAATGGCGTTTAAACCAGTAACACACGTTTTATTCGATATGGATGGATTAATATTGAGTAAGTTGTGTTTATTAAGCTACGGATATTTTCTTTCTTTCTCTTATATTACACACTTACTGAATGTATTATAAAAGTTAGTTAGGGTTATTAGAATAAGTTTCCTTTAAGCGAATCGAATTACGTAAGAAACGAAATATACATAAATAGTTATTCATATTATTGCATTTTTTTTTATCACAGTAATAACAGTTTTAGTAATCTATGTTTTTCTAAAGTAGATTCTAAATGTAAGAAGTAAGTTTTCTTGTCCTTATGTTTGCAACATTTTTTTAGATACAGAGGATCTGTACACATTGGGCTTTCAAGAAGTAGCATCACGGTATGGGAAAGAATTTACGTTTTCTTTAAAATGTAAAATCATGGGTCAGCAGAGTAAAGAGTTCGCAGAATCCATCATCGAAGCTCTCGAACTACCTTTATCGGTAAACGAGTTCCTAATAGAAACGCGGAAAATTTTTAATGATTTATTTCCGTTGAGTACTGTGTTGCCAGGTAAAATATATTTATTAGTTCGTAGGTAATATCAGTAATAAGTCTTGAATATAATTAAAAGGGTTCTAAAGGGTGTTCATTTGTAACAAATATTATAAATTTATCAATTTACGCAGCCCAAAAAATTATTGATTGAAAATATGTACTATAATAACTTTCATAATAATTATATTGATTCTGTTTGTTGCAGTGATTATATTAGGTATAATATACCTACGAGTATTTACTTTTGACTGACTCATATTGTTTCAGGCGTAGAAAGAGTAATAAGGCATCTAAGCTCATGTAAAATACCAATTGGTTTAGCAACAAGTAGCAGCCAGGAGACGTATGATTTGAAAACAAAAAATCATACAGAATTGTTTGATCTGTTCACGTACAAGACGCTGGGCTCTTCTGATCCAAGTGTCAAGAGAGGAAAACCACATCCCGACATATTTTACGCAGCTGCCGCAAAATTTCCCGAAAAACCAGAGCCTCAAAACGTACGTGTCCCAATTTTGAACATAACGACGACGTTATGTATGTACTATGTAGTACGAACTAGTAGTAGGTTTCTATATATGAAATAGGTGTCGCAGACATTATATTAAGTATTTAAAGAAGAATCACTCTTTCATACATATTTTATTGAACCCATGTCGCAGCGCACACAGCGGAATAACTCAAAGATAAATAATTTTCCTCGTTTTTTCCACATTTCTCTTCTAAAAATGGTCTATTTAAGACAAAACTATTTTTTCAATTAGATAGTTCCTGAGATTAACGTATTCGAATAATGAAACAAATGCTGCAGTGGTAACGTATTTAAATTTTTAAGATACTCAAAAATATGTAATAAGCACCTAGGTTTTGCATAAGTAAAATCTACCCGCACACTTTAACTTTCAAAACGTAACTGCTGCGCGTGCGTCTTTCAATTGCACTTTTAACTAAATAGAATTTCTGATTTCATAAAACACTAATGAAATTGTTTTATACTGATTGTTTGAATATAACGTTATATGTAAGCTATTCCTTTCTTAGATTGGTTATAATAATATTAAAATATTTTCTATATAGTGTTTAGTCTTCGAAGACTCAATAAACGGGGTTAAGGCGGCTCATGCTGCTGGTATGCAGGTCGTGCTTGTCCCGGACCCCCGTCTCGACCGCACTTTGGTTTCCGAAGCCACCCTGATCATAGACTCAATGGAAGATTTCAAACCTGAACTCTTTGGGCTGCCTTCATTCGACGGGTAAAATGAAATAAATGTCACTAACAAACAATATGACAAACGCCATATATATTATATGTACTTATATTTAAATGCATACACAGACTCTCATTTGCTGAAAAGGCAATAAATGTCTTTCTTCTTTCTTTAATAGTAATAAAAGTACATTTTACATTTCATTACCAATTGTATATCATATAAACTCAGAACATAGTTTGCATTTTTTTGTTAATTTTTATTAGTTTGAACAAAAACACTTGTATCCAATTTATCACCATATTAATATTATTTACTATCACAACTTAAAATAATGACTAAAATAAAAGTTAAAATGCTTAACATTAATATATAAGTGTGTACAATAAGTAAGAACAGAAATAAAAACCCACTAAACATATTAAAATATTATGAAAATAAATCCAATGTTTTGTTACATTAATTTTGTTTTTAGCAACTGCATATATATTTTTTACTAATCCTATTTTATACTTCATCAAATTAAGTTAACACATTACATAATATCTTATGTAGCTATTGAAATGTCTATTGGATCTTCTTCAGCGATGTATACAAACTGTTTACTAAAGTGTCAATTTCACATATTACTTTTTGAACATATGCATGTTAATCTTTAATATTTGTTGGTTATATCCCTAAGTGTTTGTCTTTATTTAAGTAAATCTTTAAATGTCTTTCTGTATCTCTATTTTTAAATTAAATGTTTTTAAATCTTAACACAGGTGGTGTTTAACACAAGGTAACTAAAACTTTTTATAATGAGCATACATACAAATAAACAGATTGTAAAAATATTTTAAAAAGTGTTACTAAATATTATTTTCTTTTAAGAGGTAGACTGTTTAGTATCTATATTTCATGGACTAGAATGTTTTATATGACTTTTAAGTAGATTAACTTATTAACAATAAAGCTTGTTCTTTTGAGCATTGCTCCATAGTTCAGCTTTTTTTTTAATTTTTGGATTCAGATCTATTTAAAATGGTGGTAAACCAAATAATTCTGGTTGAAACTCCTCTAAGGAATTGAGTATGAGAGTTGCATTGCACAGAGATTCTTTTTCTATTCGAGGATCTGGTACAACAACAACTTGCATGTTTGCAGCACATGCTGCTTTAACACCATTCACTGCGTCTTCAAACACCAAGCACTGAAAAAAACAATCCCTTATTGAACAATGAAATTAAACAGTAACAATGCTTAGCCCTTTTTCAAATTTTAGATACAATTTGTATGAGTTTAATCCATTGTAATTTTATTTTTTGGGATTTCTTTCATTTAATAAAGTATAAAAATATAAGGCAGAAACTTTTCTTACATCCTCAGGCTTAGGTTTATCAGGAAATCTTGAAGCACAGACTAAAAATATAGAGGGGTCAGGTTTTCCTCTTTTAACTTCTGGGTCAGATGAGCCCATTGTAAGATGATGAAAATTGTTGAGAAACTCTTGGTGATCTGCACTCATATAACACTATCCTCACTCGAACTTGTTGCCAAGCTATAGGTATTCCATTTTTGTGTAAATGCTCTACTAATTTTTTGCACCAGGAGAAAAAAAGTATGTATATCATTTGTATAAGTAAATAGATTACGAAAATCCTTACTGAGACAACCGGTTCATTTGGAATAGGATTTCGTATTCCTCTTGACATTCATTCATAAATTCTTCCTTAGTCAAGGGTAAGTCCAAGGTTTGGACAATTTTTTCAGCGCATTCTCGACCTTGAAAACCCAGTAAACTCTTCTTTAGCTCCCATGGAAAGTTTTTCCATACTTAGCGCAAACATTAGTAAATACTTGTGTGTAGAATTTCTCAGAATCTGCAGATATAAAATAATCTTATGAATAATCAGAAAACCTTAAGCCAATATTACGCAAGGTTACAAATTTTACCAATAAGGAGTCCGTCTAAATCAAAGAGCACGTGTGTAACTTTATGGAAAGGCATTTTATAAACTTGGACTTATCAGTTATCACTTAAGTAGTTTAAAACGTATAGATTATGTTTTACAAAATAATATGGCTTAATAGTATGGTTTGGCAATTTTGAATTACGCTCTATAAATACTTATAAAAAACACAAAATGTCAACAGTGACAAATCTCAAAATCAATAATCAAACGAGGATAGCATCTACTGACATTGACACTACTTTGACAATTGACAATACCCTGATTGCCATCTATGGTTATTGGTTTTATCTGTACGCACTCTCTAAAATTTGCTCCAGTAGTACCACTCTAATGCGGTTTTATTTAACGGATCCGTTTTAAAATGTAATAACTCATGAATTAGGTATAGAGAAGAAAGCAGTATTACTTCCACTCCACACGTTATATTTAAACTTCACATTCGTAGTATTATCGTTAATTTTACCGTTTTAGAGATAGTATCACGGTAATCCCATCTTGCACGGCAGCGATACACACAGCGATACTACTTAAAGCACCCATAGATGGATTACTTTTCTGCTAATTAAACTTAAAATAAAATATTGACTAATTATCAAAACAAGGACAAAACAGGGGCCTTATAACATGGTGTAAGATGACAATAGACATAGTTTTCAAATCAAAATCAGTTTCATTGTGTACAGTAGTTACTTTAACAGGGTTACGTATGACTTAAACTCAATCCAATGAAATATTCTAAAAATGCTATGTGATGTCGAACTATAAAAATATTTGAATAAATTTAAAGTTTGTTGACTTAATTTTAAATCTACGAAATTCAATCTGCAGACGTCTTCATAAACACTATTTCATATACCATTAAGAAGGTATATTATGTATAAAGCTATAAATGAACAACAATTTAAAATTGATATCGAATCCTAATTTATCGATTTGTTATACAAATTTATTTGCCTCGTTTGTTATTTAAAAGCTTTTAGATTTGCTTTATGTTTGTTAATAGGTTTCTGTATTTGACATGTTTTTTGATGAGATATCGTTTTTTATTTTTGATTAAAACTTTTTATCAAATCTCAGGACATGTTTAAAAGCTATTACATATAGTATTGTTTTTGTAGTGTGCATGTAGATCTACACTCTTACGAATATTTAATACACTTTTTCAGGATTCGATCCCACAGTTATTTACGCATTTACCTCAGCAGAAAAATGTTCCAGAATCTAATCGAATAATAATAATTAAAACATGTAACTAAATTATTATGAGTTCTAGTAATTAAATTTATTTGTGGTGTTGATGGGCTAATTGGTCCAATGGTATGGTTATCAAATCAGTATTAAACGAAGTTGTATCATGTTTCCCATCTATATGTATTTTTTGAACCCCGTTGGACCTGTCTGGGAATCTGGATATTTAAAATGGGTGGTATTACGAAACTCCGAAGGTCATAAACCACCGTCGACAGATGAAAAAGCCGTGACGTTTAATCGCATTTTGGTTTCAGTCTGTGGATTTCCGAATATAAGATGTAAAAAAAAGGTTTACAGCGAATCTTGCTTGGGTGTTCTATGGCTGGGGTACACCTTCCATCAAGTGGACGATATACTCGCCTGTCCTGCGTTATAAAAAAATCCTCAAACTGTGTTTTTAATGACTATAATATTAATATGAATAAAGATATTTTATCTGTTCTGAATTTATTTACCTAAGTTAAAGTCTACAAAAAATAATACAAGCTACGATGGTTATTCAACGATTAATTCAACACTACGATGTCGCTGACTTGACGACCATATCATATAATATATGTATATTATGTTAGTTATAGCATTATAATAACGGAATTATCGCATTAATATACTTTTTATTGTCATCCTAAGACAAATAAAAATATTTTCTCCGGGCTGTTCACACTAAATGATAAAGTTCGTTGACGTCTCGTCACGTTCACCAAAATCTTATTAAATGTCTACCTAAGTATTGTTTGTAGTTTATGCGTGTAGTATACGTTTATATCATATAATTTTAACGCGAATTATATTTATTAATTTGTCTCCCCCCGTGACCACGGCTACTTCAAAACATCCTCAACGTCGGGCCGTAATTAAATTAAATTAAACCGTCGAAAGTATTTTATTTAAAAGATTAGCTAACCATTTCATAACTATAATTATTTTTTATATCTAGAGTCAAAACTATTTCGCACGACGGCAAGTATGTTTATGGAAAAGTTATTTACAAATAATAAAGTAATAACCCTTTATTTCCTGGTTCAGGGAGTAGGCACATTTCTGTGTCCGTAATATTGATTTCAAATACTTACAGACTAGACTCGAAATACTCGTAGTATCGGAAACTGTACACGCTTAGAGAGTACATACATGTGCCTCAGTTTCGGCTTTCGACTAATAAAAACTTATCTGAAGACTATATTTTTTGCTCTTCCCATACCCCTAGGTTTGATAAAGACGAAATGTGAGCGTAGAGATAATCTATTTAAGCGTAGTTTGTCAAGCGTTTCCGTATTCCGAAATAAAAAAATACAGACATCCGGATATTGAAAAAACACTGATTTCGTCACACAGTGAAAAAAATTCTAGATTAAACAGTAATGTAACTGTATTGAGTAAATTTATTTTGTTACAATCGTTGATTGAAGCGACGGTAATATTTTTGGAAATCTTTAACTGTACAATTTTTTCCGTCTGTTTTTTCTCAGTTTGTCTGTTTGACAGTTTAAATATTTACAGTGCATATACATTTTTTGCCCACAATCATTATTATGTATTTAGAAAACTCTATTAAAATTGCCATTATTTTGTATTATATTTTAACTTTATGCCTTAATTATTTAACAGTGCAATTGTATACATGCAACAATATATGTAATGACATTTTTATATTTTTCTACCTATATATTTTATTAATAAACAATTGAAAAAATGCACTACGCATTTTATTTTAATAATGACTCATGCGCATGCTTTACTTCTCTAAAAATTCTATTTTAAAATCTTACTTAATTTCAATTAGTACGTTTTTAGTTACATTTTTATATTAAATATACACAATTTATTAAATCATTGTTTTTCTCTGAACTCATCACGTGTAATGAGTATAAATTTTTCTTTCCTACTCTTGTCTGTTTTTTGTACATTCGTGCCACATTCATTTATAGGTCAAAGAAGAAAATTTCCAGTCCCCTGCTCCCGCCGTTGCCTGCCATCCGAAGTAATTAATGCATGGATATAGAGCGTGAAATCAAGCGTACAGAAGTTAGGTAGGTATATAGTATATAGCGCCGGAGCGATACAGCCGCCTCTCAGTCACATCGTGCACACTATGAGAGTTAAAACACCCAACGAGCGGCGCCGGTGTCCCAAAGTAAACTATCGATAAAGAGGAATTCCTACTGTGATGTTAGCACGTAAAAAGTGTTTATATAAAAAGAGCGTCGTGCACATAATTTCAGTTAAATTGTGAACTTTGCGGTCGGCATGTCTCTTCCGGGCTCCTTTTTACTATCGTACTATGTGGAAAGCTTTTTGGTGAGTGCGATTAAGTTAAGTAAGTGAGAATTGAAAAGTTAAAAAAACGCATTTTAAATAAAGCTCGTAGCTAGTAAAAACCGAACGGCGGTATAAATTATTCAGACATTTTTTTATAATTTATGTCTGTTGATTACATTTTACACAATTATCGCGCGGAGTTTGTTGTTAGTTAAGAGTTTGCGGCCGGTGAATTTTTAATTGTTTATTGATAAAACGAGACGAAAATCAATTATTTTTTTATCTGTAAAACACGATGAATGAATCGCCAGTCAATTTTGCTTAAAAAAATAGCAGACACTTAAGAGCGTAACTTGTCTAAGCTAAATTAGGTAACGAAGGCATAGGGTAACGTTAACTTGGTAGTCATGTAACCATCCGTAACCTTGTCACGCTTCAGGTGTAGCTTAAAGTTCAGCACTTCCGGTCAATGTCATGTCTATTATCATAAATTGTGTCAAATAAACAGTAATAATTGCTGTGGGAAAATTGACGTAAATAGTTTAATTGAACGCGAGTTACATTGTCTTAATGAGCGTTACAATGTGGGCAAAAATAGGTATTGATTATTTATAGAATAGCAATTTTTTAATTAATTAGTACTTAAATACTGTCTATAGTTTACGCGAGTAGTACACATTTAAATAAAACACTTTAACGGTTTAAAACGCGATATATTAGTTAAACTTATTTGAAAATGATTTTTAACTTCGGCCCGACGTTTCCCCGTGACCACGGCTGCTGCAAAGCATCCGAAACGTCGGGCCGAAGTTAAAAATCATTTTCAAATAAGTTTTACTAATATATCGCGTTTTAAACCGTTAAAGTGTTTTATTTAATTAGTACTTTTTAAAGTTATTTTAAATATTTCGATTTTTTTATTAGTTTACACAGTGCTTCTAACGTAAGAATATCGCGATAAATTTCAAACATAAAAATCGCCTTCCGGTGAAAAAATATTTTCGTGTCATCATTTAAAATAACTAAAATAAAAATATTGATCTCTTATAAAACAGATTCTAGATGACGAGAAATGTTATATTCAATAGATGAAAACCACTATTAGTAACAAACCATTAATTAGAAATCGCTTTTGAATGTCTTTTGGTTTATCATAATTTTCAAGGTCAAGTCCTAATTACATAAAGTTAATAAATTTACAAAATATTAGCTTTGCTCTATGGCTTTCCTCGCGTAGTGAGTTTGCGTGTAAAATGGAGAGCGGCAATAATTAAGAAACAGAGATTATAGTACAGAATATTATCCATATATTTATAGGTTACAAGACAAAAAAAAAAAAATTTCATCGCAATAAAACATCGTATATAAAATTAATTACCTAATATAGTACTTAAACTGATTAAAGGTGTTATAATAAATGATAACTAACAGTTAGAATGTCCATTTTAAAACATGGACAACCTAAGTTTTATATAACTATTTCGAACTTGTTTTTGACTATAAATAGTGTTTATTGTGAAATTATGAATTTTTACATAAGAATTACGGTTTCGAACACGATGCACACATCTTTCTATACAACTAGAAAAATACAGTTTTAAATTGTTAATTTTTAAGTTAAAATTTGTTAATATTGGTGTGTACATGTGTCTCGAGCAACGGATAAAAACTCTTAACGGTTTAAAAATATGTTTTTTAAAATTGTATATTCGTTTTTGTGTACAGAACTAATTTAAAAAAATAATAACACAGTACTTATTAAAATTTGTTATATTTGTTTTTAGCGGATTATACATCAATTCGAAAACATCCAAGGGAATCTTAGTCGCGTCTTCAATGCGCAGACACACCTCTGTTAGGATTTTTATATCGAATCAATAATCGGTGCATTATTGCATCTGCGTGCGTCTAGTTATCCGTAACGCTAAATATTCACGAGTTTATTACCACTTGGTTATATTATTAATTTATATTCAAACGGTCGCTTACCCTAGTCTGATTCAAGGCTGATTTTTTATTAAACGATCATTAACATGGCGAACTCTAATTGATATCGGTCAATAAAATTCTAATTTGGAGATTTATCTTTTAACTAGCTGTGCCAGCGACTTCGTCCGCGTTCTTGCGAATTGATTCTAAAAGATAGACATATTGTTTTGCGGTCATTTTTTAGATAAAGACATTAAAGAGGTTTTGTCATTTTGGACATTTGATCATTATCAGCCCGTTTGAGCCCACTGCTGGACGTAGGCCTCCCCCAAAGCACGCCAGTCGGCCCTCTCTTGAGCTCTATTTATTCATTTGCTGCCTCCTTGTTTTAGGTTGTTGTGGGTCAGTAGTACATGTGGTTGAGGTTAAAGGGGGGAAGAAATTTGTGGTTTGTGTATGTCAAACAAAGGGGCGTCTAGTCTAGAGATTTATCTCTATCGACATTAAAATAAAATCTTGATAAGCCGCTTGTAAATTTACACATGACCTTGATATTGACGTTGAGATAGTATCTAAATGAATCATTTTTGCCAATACGGCTATAAAATTTTCCTTTGCCTTCGTACCTTGTGTTAATACTGTATTACGAAATTACATTATCATAGATTCCGTGATTTAGTATATTTTTATGAGTAAACAAGTTTACATACTATAAAGGTAGAGTTTTGATAATTGTATGGAAGCGACTTCTGCATAAGGCACTTTATGACAATGAAACAGATATGATAGGGCATTTAGTAGACATAATTCTGTGTCGTTGTTTGAAGTTTTTTTAAAGCGAGATGCGAGATTCACTACAGGACCTCGCTGAACGCTTTTAACTATTGGCGCATAATGAAAAACCGTATAAATGTTTTGGATTTTTAAGAGAAATTCAACAAGTTAAAGAGAATTCATCTATTAAGGCTATTCGTTTATCTAGTTCAAAGCCTTTCGCCTGTTAAAGATATATGTATGTATATAGTTTATTAACGAACGAGGATAAACTGATGAAAACGCGAAAAAAACAATTAATTGGTTATTAAGTTTTGTTTCTAGCTAGTAATACGTAAAAAATAAACTTAATTGCCTAAGTCAGTCTCACTAATTGATCTAGCTAGCAAAATATGATTTCCTAGACACTAAAGTACACATATTTTGTATAATTAACAAATAACTATGCTCTGGAATTAATTTTTGTTCCAACGACCTAATAAATCAGATGAAAAAGAGGCTAATTATAAAATCATTTGTAATTAACCACAGATAGCTGGACCATGAAATGTTTATATGTCTAGAATAACATGAATATACACACGATTTCAAGTATGTAGAGTACTTAATTTTATGGATAAGTTACCCTGGCGTAGTTAAATTTTATTATCAGCGCAAGGACATCGCAATTATAAAGGCGATATAGTAAAAAAATCGTTCGTTGTATTTAATGCTTCACGTATATATATATCTTCTATATCAACAGTATCGTTCGTAAATTTACACTAATACTATAAAGCAGAAAATTTTGTTTGTTTGAATGCGCTTATCTCATTAAGTACTAGTTCGAATTTAAGAATTATTCTTGAGTTGGTTAGACCATTTATCTATAGGCTTTAGCCTATACACCAACAGACTGTGACCAATAGAAGCGTAAGGATAGAGCAAAAGGAATGGAAAAAAGTGGGTAAATAATCATTTTTGTGGCCTTGCGTTGTGTGGGCTGCAGAAACGGTTCAAGATACTAAAATAATAGGAATAATATAATTGTTCTTATTTCAATAATCTAAAAAATATCCGCAACGTAACTTGCCAGAACCAATTTTGTAGATTCGAAATATCATATGGTAAAAAAAAAAGTTTACCAGATCATCTAGTATTAAATAAGTAGGTAAGATTTGCTATAGAGTTGGCGTCGTCAAACGCATGAAGGTTTCTGCACTCGACCTTCTCGAAGTTAAGAGATCTATCCTTTCTTGATAAGAAAAATCGCTATATACTTGAAGCAACAGTTCTGTACGGTTTGAGTCTCTACAGAAGGACCTATTGAAATATTCAGCGACTGTGTTATCACTTACCTTAGTTAAATCATTGTCATTCAAATCTTACTCTATTATTCAGTAAATATAAAGGAGTTGATGAAATTTGAAACCAAGACTATTAAAAAACATATTTTATCATCAAGTGAAGCAAATGCTTGTCTGTTCTCCCCTATCATTAAAAAAAGGGTGTGTCATTTCCTTTATTATACTAATGTGTGACTGTTCACAAATATATACCTAATAAGATTCCTTTTAATCATGTCTCACCGCTGGGTGCAGGTCTTCTATAGGAGAAAGAGGTTCCAAAAGAACAGACACACTACAATGTTACAATTTGGGTTGGTGGGCTTTAACCACTACCACCACTAAGTTGGCAATGATACTCCGAAAACTTGAAGACTTTTCCGTGGCAACTAAAACTACTTCTAGGCTGGTGTAAAAGTAATATTCCGAAAACTGAACTGATATTTCTTTTGATTCTGAAGCCATAACCTCATGATCTGCTCCTGAGTGCACTAACTAATACATCAGCTGTATCATAGACAAAGTCACGTTAGCTAGCTAGTGATTTTCGTACTCGATAAACAATATTTCGAGCCGGAAACTTGCACAGCAAAGACACGCTCAAATTACAACTTAACTAGGTATTTAGTACCAAACATATCAATTTATTTGTGCGTAATCACTTTTCTAGTTGACATATCGCTATTAACAAACGCAAGTAGGTAACTGCGTTGTTCTGAATGAATTTAAGTTTATTATTTATTCATATTTCATAATTGATTAATTTCTATTTACATCAAAATAAAAAAAACAGGTAAAGAGACATCTTTGTTTTTTAAATAAAACACTTTAACGGTTTAAAACGTGATATATTAGTTAAACTTATTTGAAAATGGTTTTAAATTTCGGCCCAACGTTTCGGATGCATTGCAGCAGCAGTGGTAGGAGACTGGAATTGGTGCCCGAAACGTCGGGCCGAAGTTAAAAATCATGTTCAAATAAGTTTAACTAATATATCGCATTTTAAACCGT